TAAGCCGGTCACCTGTTTTAACAAACATAATTAACACATTACTTTTACAGTATCTCATACAAATTTCAATCAGCACACCACAAGTGGAGCATTCCTTGCAACAGAATAGGTTTTCAAATATGTTGTGTATCAAATTAAACACATTTGTTATTCATGTTAACTTGTACATAAAATTTGATATGTACCCAAATGATACTCAGTAGTATTGATTTTCTCAAGAAATAATTCTTTCTGAAATGAATATAGTTTGATTTATTAATACAATGCCTCAGAAGTATGTCTAATGATTCTAAGTGCTAAGATTTTATTTCAAACATACAAACACACAAACAAACCAACTTGCATACAGTTAGCAATGTACTATCCCTTTCCATTAAGTTGTGTGAGGGTATAATAATTGACCACTTATACTTACCACCAAAAAAAACAGGCTCACAAATCTCTCCATCTCTGTGAGGAACATACTTCTGATAAGTTTATAACCATAATATCAGCATACCCACAAATCACATCAACACCATATTCCTATCATGAACAAGAATACTTTGTGAAAAATTAAATCACTTGCATTGTTTTAATTTGACAATAAATTTAAATCCACTATAAATTCATACCTAGTATTTAATCTTTGCATTTTAACCTGGAATACTTACTTGTACTGTTTTAATTCCTGCTTGATCACTATACTTGTGTGGCAGATGTTTGGGATATATTTTGTTCAAAAGTTTTGAAAGGTGGGGAATGTTCCTGATCACAGATGTTGCAGTAATAAAAACCAATTCTTCCCTCAACTTTTCTTGTTCTTCAAGTGATGGCACGAATTTTTCAAAAGAGATGTCTGCATATTCTAGGTCTCTTTCTGGAGTTACCACAGGTATTTGCACTCTATCTACAGCAATCAATACATTAAACAAATGTATGGATTGTGTCTGGTTCTGGGAGGTCCTTCAAAATGGAACAAGATGTGTATGGTCACTATGATTTGTAAACTTACATTATTATAAATAACAAACCAAACTAATTGAAATTATATCTACTATTTGCTTCCTGATTTTTGATTTTTAAGATATTTAAAAATAGGGAGCACATAGATATAATTTTAACTAGACTGAAATTTCTACTAAAGTGATGCATGTACCTATACTGTTTATCAACACAAACTTTGTATAATAATGTTCTATATTTTTTCCAGTTTTGATTTGAACAAAACCCAATACATATCCAATAAATAAGACACAAAATTTACCTGTAGGATGGCAGTATTTGTCACCAATTAACTGGTATTTTGTTGTATTTTCTTGGCCCTCCTCCCAAGACTTCTTCAGTGCTATGACCTCTGCATCTAAGTTTGATATCCAGGTTTCTAACTTGCTGTGCATGGATTTACTTGTCACAGTCATTCCGCACTTGGTTAATCTGTCAATATCCTAAAAAAGCCTTGAGTTATTACAAATATGTAAACACAATTTATTAAAATTAATAACATTATCTAAGCAACACATATTAATCACTTCATTTCAAGCATTGTAAATCTCTTTATCTGCATTGTCTTTAAAAACATACACAACATAAACAGACAAAGATAGGGTATGTTCATTGAACACTTCCTTTGAATGAAAAAATTTACCCTCTGTGTACATCCTCCATGAGCCAAAATGAAACCGAGCTGGTAATGCACCGATGACATCTCTTGATTACGTCCGTGAAATGCTGAAGCTACTGTAAGCATTAAGTTTATGAATTTCTTCTCACCAATGGCAACTGGAACATCACTAACTGCTGACTGAATAACTCTCAGGGTGTTTGGTGCTTTGATGTGAAGCTCCCTGTAAAACTTATCCCAAGAAAATTCTAATATACTGTTGTCGTCTTTTTGCTGGAGAATGCTTCCTGAATTTCTTTTACAGAGTTCTTTTGATTCACAACTAATGATGTGTGACACTGCTGTAACAACCTCCTTCCTGTAAGCTGTGGATACTACAGCAATTATAGCATTTTTGGCATTTCCTGAGGACCTACCATTAAAAATAGCTCTACATATTTTCTGTTCTGTTTCATTTCTTACAAGCTCTGTTCTTCTTCCACTTGGGTATGCAATGGTTATCTGTAGAATGAAAAAAGAATTTACTTACAATGGATATCATATATAATCTAAACATACATATTCATTTATCAATAAATATTGAAAAAGTAAAATCAATAACATTTATAAAAACAAAATAAATTAACAAGTGATTATCACTTATTCATGGTTATACAGGAATAGCAATATTAAAATATTTCTGGAATACATTCAACTTTTTCTTGCTTCTTGACTTTCATCATTCAAAATGTAAATGTAACTAACATAATTTTTTGTATTATTTTTAATCTTGACATGGAATTTGATGATAAAAATACCTTAGTTTCATCTATGCTGGATGGTGTTTATATCTGAAATAACAACTGCAACAATCTAACTCTGGAAGAAAAAAATAAGCAATATAAAAAAACAACAAACAAAACTGAAGACTTGTTAGTATTCATTAATTAAAAAAAACAAACGAAACAAAACAAAAACAAATCATGCTGCAAATAATGGTACTGTATTACAGTTATAATGATATCTGGATTGAGTTACAGGTTTTTAATAGCTCACCTGAGCTGAAAGCTCAAGTGAGCTTTTCTGATCATCCACTGTCTGTCGTCCGTCACCCTGTTCGTCCGTAAACTTTTCACATTTTCAACTTCTTCTCAAGAACCACTGGGCAAATTTTAACCAAAGTAGGTACAAAGCATCCTTGAGTAAAGACCTAGGGAATTTAAATTCTTAAAATGAAGGGCCAAGTCCCCTCCAAGGGGAAATAATTAAGAAAAGACAAAGATAGGGTGGGGTCATTAAAAATCTTTTTCTCAAGAACCACTGGGCCAGAAAAGCTGAAACTTATACGGAATCTTCCTGAGGTAGAGTAGATTCTAAATTTTTCAAATCATGGCCCCCGGGATAGGGTGGGGCCACATTATGGAATCAAAGTTTTAAATTGAAATATATAGGAAAAATCTTTTTCTCAAGAACCACTGGCTCAGAAAAGATGAAACATAGGTGAAAGATCCCTGAGGTAGTGTAAATTGTAAATTTATTCATACTTTGGTCCCCGGCGGTAGGGTGGGGCCACAACAGGGAATCAAAGTTCAATATAGATTTTATATGAAAATTTTTTTTATTAGATCATCTCAAGGACAGCAAAGCCATGATTAGTCAAATTAATATGGAAACAACTTTAGGTAGTATAGATTCAGGTTTGTTCAAATCATGACCCCCCTCCCCTCCTAGGAACAAGGTGAGGCTACAATAGCCAATCAAATTTTAAATAGAAGTCTTTAAAACTTCACTTCTCAGGAAAAATGAAACCATGATGAATCATTTTTTAAATGTGGAAGCACTCTTACATACTGTTTGTTTGTTTTGTTTTGTTTATTGTTTAACGTCCCTCGAGAATTTTTCACTCATATGGGGACGCCACCACTTGCCGGTGGAGAGCTGCAAATTTTGACCTATACTCCGCACTCAGGGCCATTGAGCAGTGAGGGATCTTTTTGGTGCCAACATCTAATGCGACACGGGAACTCGTAAGCGACATATCGTTAAAAAAGGAGCATCGAGGATCTGATTTTAATCAGATTGATATTTCAGTATAACCGCGTTTACAGTATATGTAAGTTAGAATGGTGAATTTCGTACTTAAGAAACAGCATAAAATCTGTCCTAAAATTTGCCATACTTAGTATATAGTTTGTGAAGTAACATATTTATGATTATCATTTGTCAAAACTTACAATGGTTTTATGTTACAATAGATTTTGACACGATTCTAAGAAACTTCGCCGTAACTTTTTTTTATACCTGATCTCATGGATTGCCAAGTATTTCTAATCCACTTCCCTTTCATTTGGGAGACTGATTATGATTCACTATGTACATTAATACTTTCAGCCCTGTTCAATAAATTCTTGCATCATATATAAATTTGAATGAAGGCGTACAAGGCGAGGACAATCCGCTCTGAGAAAAGGCATTTCTTAATTCTAAATGTTCATGAAAAGTTATATTTTTCAAAAATTGTATTGTCAGTATCATCTTATGCACATTTAATTCCTTTTTATCGAATAACTTATTGATAAATTATTTCTTTTTTTAGTTAGGTTTTTAAGATATGTAAAAAGAAAAGAGCTTCATACGTGGTTCGAACTCGCTCCAAAACTCAGGATTAGACTAAATAATAAACGCGTTTTCCACTACGCTACGAAGTCTTCTTGTCATCGACGTTTGTCAGTATGCTTTAAATAAACGAATTTGTTGAAGCATTTAATTTTTATTCTAGAAATGTTTTATTTTCGTATAGAAAGGGTTCAGACTCCATGTTTTTTAAAACATAAATTTGATTTTACGTTAATTTTTCCATTAATTTAAATTTTTATGTAGAAAAGAGACTTGACCCATTTATATTCAAAAATATTTTTATGTCTACAATAAACCCATTTTGCACTAAATATGCTTAACTGTCAACTTTAAAAAAAATACCAATCAATAAATCAGTCACTCAATTAAGTCAATAAAATATGTTGCAGATGAGACAACTGACAACATTATTCTTGAAAAATATAAATTCTCCATGATTATTGAAATTTGAGAAATATATTGTCTCAGGGCGGGGGATTTCCCTAGCCTTGTACGCCCTCTTTCTATGGAATGTAACATTTCAAATTCAAGTAAGCCTTCTTCCAAAATTAAAAAAAAGTTATCAGGAACATTAAAGATGACTAAAAATACATCACTGGAAAAATTGGGAGATTTGTTTAATTTACAACTTGAATTTTATAATTATGTTATATTTCTAGAATCTTTTTACGTCCAGTAATTTCGTTTCCATGACTTCGGAGCTACAAATACGTGAAATTGATTTAATTGATTACTTTTACCGGGGTGCCTAAGATATTTTTCAATGCTAGGCAAAGTAATCATGGATCCTCGCTCAAAAGCCCAGGATGTGATGCGATGTGACCTGTGTGAGACCGCTGTGGTACAGATGCACTGTGATACGTGCCTTGTCAATCTGTGTAAGGCCTGTGTAGGACAACACGCAATACTAGTAGCTGTTGAACCCCCCAAACATGAAATTGTTAGATTTTCTCTAAGAAATTCTACCCCTCTCCACCCTACATGTTCATCCCATGTCAGAGAACGATGTGAAATGTTTGCAATCAATGTGACATTCCTGTGTGTGCCACCTGCCTTGCTTCAGATCAACATCTAGGTCATAAACTTTTGAAAATTTTACAAGCCCTAGAAAAGAAAAAAGAAAGAATCATCAAAGAACAAACTGAATTAAATGAGACAATTTACCCCACTTACCAGGACATTGCCTCTGATGTACAAAACAGGATGAGTCAGTTAGAAAAGGAATATGGAGATCTCTCAACAGCCATAACAAAACATGGAGAGGACTGGCACAGAGAAATTGACAAACTTGTCAAGAAACTTAAAGCTGAAGCTGATGAGATGAAAAGGAAACAATTAAAAATTCTACAGAAACATTTAGATGAGATACACAAAAAAATTGCAGACATCAAATGTAAAATCAATTCAATTGAATCTCTGGTAAATTCTAATGATATTACAAAACTGATTAATGCAAAATCTAATGAAGAGAGACGTAAACATCTTCCTCCAAAAATTGTACCGTCTTTACCAAAATTCACATCAGGTAAAATCCAAGGAGAAGAACTTAGCAAATTGTTTGGAACTTTATCACTAAGTTCTTTTACTTCTGAAAAGCATGGTTATAGCATAAAGATAACAAATAATTTTCCAAAAGCTGGATTCTCAAGTTAAAAAACTGCTTGATGAACCAGAGATCGTCACCACGATAGAAACTGGATATAGGCAGCATTATACTGTGGCCTGTCTGAGTAATGAAAAAATCTGGACAGGTGGAGACAGCACCATAAACCTCTACAGCATCAATCAAGGATCATTGCTCAAGTCAATCACAACCAGGTCAGAGTACACACCAGAGGACATAGCAGTGGCAAAAAGTGGAGATTTAATTTATGTTGATAATAGTGATAGAACATTGAACATTTTTAAGAGTGAAAAGATTGAGGTGATCAGACTACAGAGTTGGATACCTTGCGGTGTATGTGGCACTTCCTCTTTTGACCTCCTGGTTATCATGTACAGTGCTGATTACCAACAATCAAAAGTTGTCCGTTACTTTGGCTCAACAGAGAAACAAACCATTCAGTTTGATGATAAAGGTAAAGCTCTCTTATCTCCTTGGCCTTATTACGCACGTATAACTGAGAACAGGAATCTGGATATCTGTGTGGCTGATAAAGAAGCTATGGCTATAGTAGTGGTTAATCAGGCCGGAAAACTGAAATTCAGATACACTGGACACACTCCTGCTCCTAAGAACCAACCATTTAGTCCACGAGGAATCACCACAGACAGTCAGAGTTACATACTTACAGCTGATTATAGTAATGACTGTGTCCACATCATAGACAAGGATGGACAGTTTCTCCGTTACATAGACTGTGGACTGAGTGATCCCTGGGGACTGTGTATTGATACAAATGACAATTTGTTTGTTGCTCAATGGAGGAGCAGGTAAGAGAAGAAAATCAAATATCAACGGTAAATTGAAAATGTAAAAAAAAATCTATGAAATAGCAACCGAAAATTTTTTCTAAATATTGAAATTAACAGCTTATTGATATTTATGTCAGATAAAATTATTTTAGAGCCGCAATTGTGCATAAGCTCGTGTACATTCTATGTGATATCTTTGTTCTCAAAAGGATAACTGTCATTGGATAAATTGTTCATATCCCACACTTTCTATTCCAATGTCTGGTGATAGAGAAACAAAGAAATACCATTGCATTTGTGAACACGGAAGATGAAGGTAGAATTTAGAATAAATAAATTAATTAAATCTATCAAATAAAAATAAATGCTAAAGGATAATAAAGGCATTCCTTTATTTCAGCAGAGCTAGAGCAGTAGTGGTGCTCAATCAAGCCGGTAAACTGCCGGTAGACGCGTCGGCCAGTATAAAATGGCGTCACTCTTTTGAGTATATTAGGGACACAGACTCAAAGCGTTCAGTAGGTGTCCCTCGGATAATCATCCGGGATATTAAAAAATTGACCTATATACAATCTTTGGAGTCCAAGTTTTGGTATAAAAACTACAGTTCATACACAAAATTGAAGGAATGCAAAGTTTCTCTTATAGATATATTTGTTGAATCTTTTTCAGATCCAATGGCATCTATTTCCAAATGTTCTGCTAAAAACAGTAAAACATGTGATGTTTTGATCACAGACTGTTCTTTTACTAGCAATCTGACAGGACAAAGCTTCTATACCAAACTTGGGAAAATTTGAACTGCAAATCTGCAAATGTTGTAACCTTTGTGTGCTTACTTATGTCGGTGAAACCAAGGGTTCACTTTATAAAAGAATATCAGGTCACAGATTTCAAATTAACAAAGGGGTCCAGCAGCTTTTCTACAAGCATTCTAATTTACCTGATCATTCTATTTTATCAATGAAAGTTAGAATTCTAGAAAAGATTTATCATCATACTAATAATCCATCACTGAGTACACCATTCCGTAGACAACCAGAAGAATACTGGATAAGGAAACTTGGCACAGCCTTTCCATATCGAAGCAATGAAAAATGTCGATAGCATTGGGAATCTTTCAAGTCCACAGTGTTGCAATATGAATGTGATGGAACTTTTTAACAATACTCAGAGACGTTAGCGTAGTTATGGACATCGGTCATATAATAAAACTAGTATATATTCTTTTGATTCCTTAATATGTAATTACATTTGTGTACTACCTTATGTAAACAGTTAGGTCTCCATCTAATTTCGCACCAAACTTTACTCTGTCCCTTTGAAAGTTCTATATGGTTTATTTGAAAAGGTCAAGAAAAGTCCATATTTGGATCCTTCGACAACACAATACAGGCTTGGAACTGTGATTATGGATATTGCAAATCATAGGCTTTTTAAACCGACACAATTAATGGAAGATGATACTGTTCAAACAACCCGTTTGTTCCTTACACTTCAATTTGCAATCAAAGGAATAGACGCACAAATACAATTTATCTTTGAGTCAAATGGTGACTGACGTTTTTTCATACTAATTGTTAGGCCATTATTTACACACTGAATTGTTGACGGATTTTTCCGTTATTTCGATTCCCTATCATGACAAGGAGCACACGGCGGGTGTGACCGGTCGGCAGGGGATGCTCACTCCTCCATGGCACCTGATCCCACCTCTGATGTTTTGGAGGTCCGTGTTTGCTCTGCTCCTATTTTGTTTTGTTTAATGGACTTTTGAGCTTGAATACTGTTCGTTATCTCCATATATTTCACGCAGTTAATATTGGTAATATTCTTAATCACAAAAGGGTTCAGTCTTGTATTCCACCATATTTCAAATTGAAGTCCATACCTTGTATTTCTTAAAAATATACATCGACTATTGCTTCCAAACTTTTAATTACAAAAAACTCCACAGTGCCTAGATATCGAACATCTGATACATAATCCTCCTACGTGTTAATGTTCTTCTTCACCCAAAAACTATAGTCCTGCTGGACACGTCTTTACTGGTGATGTAAACATAGTTACTAATGAGAACCTTAAATCTCTTATTTTAAAAGGGTCAAAATTTAGGGAAATCCGTTCTTTTAACTAGCGTGATAATTTTATATATATTAGGAATTCTGTGGAAGATTACGCCTGGTGATGGGCCAAACACGAAAAAGAAGACCTTGACACTTTGTCAGAATAGATTAAGAGCATTGGGTGGATGTTGAAATCTCGCATTAAACTATTGAGGGCCTGTATGAAAACTATTTGTTCTTCTGTCTTTCATAATTCAGAAGTGATAAAGGAATTAGATTACACAATCAGTATGGTCCCAGTTGATACCTGGTCCCAGCTGACAAAGCTGGTAACCAAAGTATTTGTTTGAAAGGCTCAATATTTGAATTGTATTTTAGAGGAACTAGGATTTAATTCTGCAGGTGGAAATCAACTTACACCCATACCTCCCTTTCTAAGTAGGAAAATCTTCAAAATCATATGTCCGTTTTTAGATATTTTTAATATTCCCAACAATCAAAATGATTTTAAATTACCGTACCTTTACTGGATTCCTAAACTTCATAAAAATCCTTACAAAGATACATAGCGGGTTCTAGTAAATGTTCAACCAAGCCTCTTTATTTACTCCTCACTAAAATATTTACGTAATGAAGGAGAAACTTCAGGAGTACTGTACAACAGTATATTCGAGAAGTGGTCTAAATCAGATGTGGATACTTAAAAACTCTAAGGGACTTTTTGAAAATTTGAAATCACAAATTTTTACTGAAATCAATAACATCAAAACGTACAACTTTTCAACACTTTATACAACCATCTCGCACGATAAATTGAAGTCCAGGCTTTTTGACATCATAGACAGCATCTTTTTCAATAAAAATAGAACTCGTAAATATACTTATCTTGTCATTGGTCATTTTCAAAATTATTTTGTTAAAAAGCATTCTGATTGTACATACGAGCACTCTGAAGTTGATATAAAAAAGATGCTTGAGTTTCTGATTGACAATATATATGTAGTTTTTGGACATCAGGTCTTCCAACAGTCTGTTGGAATTCCCTTGGGTACGAATTGCGCCCCGTTATTAGCAGACCTATTTTTGTATTCATATGAAGCAGAATTTATTCAAAAACTTCTACATGAAAAGAAAAAACACTTGCTGTGGCCTTCAACTGGACATTTCCATATATCGACGACATATTATCAATTAACAATAGTTACTTCCATTCATATGTCGACTCGCTCGATATATCCCAGTGAGCTTGAAATAAAAGATACCACAGAGTCAGATACATTTGTTTCATATTTAGATATTTTATTAGAAAAAGTCGTTAATGGTAACCTAACAACAAAGCTTTATGATAAATATGATGACTTCAACTTTTCAATTGTCAACTTCCCTTACTTATGTAGCAATATACCCTTATCATCTGCATATGGGATATATATCTCTCAGTTGATTCGATATGCACAATTGAACAATATGAACAATTTTTAAAACGAGACAAGCTATTGACAAACAAGTTGATGAAACAAGGATATCAACAGTCCCGTTTGAAGTCATCATTTCGCAAGTTTTATGGTTGATTCAATGACCTTTTAAACACATACAACCTATCATTAAGTCAAAATGCTGACTGACGTTTTTCATACTAATTGTTAGGCCATTATTTACACACTGACCTGTCTACGGATTTTTCCGGATTTTTTCCCTTCCGATCATGACAAGGAGCACACGTTGGGTGTGACTGGTCGGCAGGGGATGCTCACTCCTCCATGGTACCTGATCCCAACTCTAGCTTTTGAGGTCCGTGTTTGCTCTGCTCCAAATTTGTATCGTTTCATTGCACTTTCTTAACATTAAAACCATTCTCCAACTATACATTGAATTATTTTGTCTCAAAATTTGATTCCTATGTTAGGTGTATTGTAAAAGGGACCTACTAACGTTAGCAAATAGGTAACTGATTGTAATGTCAAATGTTACTTTTTATTCATTTTACTAAATTTTCGCCGTTAAGGTAAAAGGTATGTTTTAAAGATACCAGAAAAGACTGAGTGATCTTTAAGCTTCAGAACGACTTTGAAATGTGAATTGCTACTACCCTATGAAGAAATGTTTTTTTGGAATCCAAATATTTATTGATAACATTTTTGTCTTGAGATGTAATCAGGAGCGAGATAACAATAATTAATGAAGACCTTGTTGAAGAAATCTCGAAACACTTGCTTTTATTTTGTCATGGGAATCAGGGGCAAATGAATGATTTTTTTTCGGTGGTGGTTTTATAAATAATAATTAAAGAGTTTTGCTTGATACCATTCACAAATGGAAAAGAAATCAGGTGAGGGAAAGACGGTTAACTAAATTATGGGAACATTTATTTCCTAGAAAGAAGGTAACAGTCCTTTTTTATGAGAAAAAGGGTCCGTTTAAATATGTAGAAATATTCGACTGACACACAAACGTGCAGATCTTTGATAATTTGCATTGATTATCATTGCGCCTAAGAATCGTGTATGTAGTTTATTCTGGCAAATAATGACAATACTCAACATTTTAGATGATATCTCTATGCATTAAATGGGTGTGGTCTCGAAAGAAATAAGAATTTCTTATTTGTGTAATGCATCTATTCATTATAAATATAAAATACAGCTGTTTGCATTTTTGAAAAAAAATATTAAAATTTCAATACGATTTGTGCTTTGCATTAACCTTTTGTAAGATTGTAATTTGAAAAGCTAGTGTTCTGCATTTCAGCTTTTGTGAAGTATTTCCTTTAAGTTTTGATATCTATGTTTAATACTTCGTTTATATTAATAATGATATCGTTCTGTTCTTTAAAACTATTTTATGTACAATATAAAACTTTGCATTTGAAGACATTAAGTATTATTTACATTTGAAACTTTATAATTTTATATAAATATTTTTACCTTGTTTTCAGAATTTAAGAGGTATGTATTGGTCAATCACACTATAAGACATCTAAAATATTTTGCTGTAGAACAACAGAAGTAAATGTGACTTTCATATATTCAATGAACTTTCTCTAACGACACACTTGAAGCAATACCATACTAATTTGACTAATGAGTACTTAATAAATTCTAAAATAAAACATACAAACAACAACAACTTGGCGTTTACTGTAGAACAATTTGTTTTTAAATAATTTTCAGATATTGAATAACAATGTCCTTATGATATACTTGTATTATCAATCAATATTCAGAATTGAGATTGACTATCTTTTTCAAGCTTGAAAAAATGATCTTAGGCTTTCTAAAAAGTTGCAATAGAAATTCCACCTCATATAATTCTTCTTTTAATAAAAAAAATTTAAAGCAAATAAAGTTGATTTTATAATGCACAATACCCGGTATATTGATTTGTATATTCAGGTATCATTTCTAATAAAACATAAAGAAACGCAGTTCAATTGCAATTGATCGAATAGAATAAAATATTAAAATGAAACTTTTAAAGCACCAACTATATATAGTCATGCAATTTTTTTTTCAACAATAATTTGTTTCATGTGTTAAAAAAACTTCAAAATAAACTCAACTAACCCAAAATGAAACAAATACTGTTATCTAGGAACTACGAAGCCATTCTGTCCAAAGGTATGAAGAATATAAATAAAACATGTAAACCGCTATCCGGGTTTTTGGATTACTAGATTTACCAACTGCTGTACATAGATTGACAAGAGGCCATTAGAGACAGGTAATAATCTTGGGGTGATTCATTTGGTTTTTTCCCATATAATTGTATATTAAATACACATGAACAAGATTTGTTCGTGTAATATTTTTAAAATATAACGTCTTCATTTGAGCATGCAGTATATATGGCAGTCTCAGATTATAAACGAGGACAAAGCTATAAATAGAAAAGTTTTAAAAAGAAGAATTTATAACAAATGTAAACAACACATTTAATGTCCCTTTCACAGATCTCTCTTAAGGAAGCTCTAAACACTAACGAAAAATGTTTTTGGACATTGATAAAATTACATCATACGTGTTCATAAAGAGCTTATCTGTTTTATTTTCAACAAAGGGTAACTGGCATATTTCAATAAAAGTTTTATTATACATTGACGGTGATGTATTGTGAACAGATATCACTGTTGTTCACTTACCTTGGGAAAGTATGTGTAAATAATATCTTTATTACGTTATTTGGTCTCTAATCTTTAAATCCGTTTCAAATTGTGTCATTTACTGTTCTGATCTGTGCATCAAAGGGTAGATCAGGTATTCAGGTTAATTAGTGAGCAGTGTTTCGAGCTTCCTTTAGTAAAAAAAATTAATTGGAGTTTATACTGTTGTTGTTTCATGAAACTGTACGTCATATGGTTATCCATGAACAGAAAGCTCAGCTTAATGGATCATCGATAGATTTATTGTAAATTTAAGACATCGAATTCATATGTTCTTACTTGATGGTGTCTTTATATTCTATCTTGAATTTGATTAACATGTGGAATAGTATTTGGAGGAAAGTGATTTTTTTTAAAGACAGTAAAGGTCATTTTGAGTAGTGAGGAGGGGATTTGGGGTTATCTACGCTGATATTTTCATAAGAAAACATGTTTTTCACATTTAATGTTACTGGGTTTTCTATAACCTCTTTTAAAGTCAGCGTTTCTAATATTCTATGGTCTTTACAATGATCATGTTTACAAAACATTTTTCTGGGTCGTATTTTGACTAACATTTTTCATACTAATTTTTAGGCCATTGTTGTTTTTTCTGTCCATGGATTATTTTTTCAATCTAATTAATACATGGGACTCATGGTATATCCGCTCGACAAAGAATGCCAACTCCTACAAGGCACCTGATCCCACCTATGGCATTTCAATTAGTCCGTGTTTTATGCCCTGGCCTGTTCACAAATTTGACTTTTGTGTGGTTTTGTTTGAGATCAACTAATGTTCATTTCACCTTTTTCATTGACCCTCAATGTTTTTGTTGAACCACCATGTGTGCAAGTGTATGTAATTCTTCGGTGCTACAAAGATCAATACAAATTAAAAAAAAGATCTGTGTTTTTTTACATGCCAGATGAATCTTTATATATATGTACATTCATTGGTCGATCCTAGGGTGATGTTTCATTACATTTAAATTGTTATTCAGCAAAAATAAAATAAATAAATAAAAAATAATAATTTCGTATTTAGAGGCTAGACATTCCTAGAATGGAATGCGAAGATATCGAAAAGTAAAGCATGCTCTTAAGGTCAAGATTTAGTAAATGAGTTTAGCCTTTCTTCTTGGTGCTTGATTCATTATGACGTCATAATTGATTGCAAATTAATTTTTCCCGTACTTTACGGCTTCAATGGAATTATGTAGAAAATAAAACACTTTCATGGAATTCAATTTGAAATCATGTCATATGTAACCCCGATACCCTTATTCCGTTTAATATCATTTTAAAGTAGAGATCAAGAAGATATGAAAAACCGTTTTCTGAGAGACTGTAGGCAATTCTGATACATTTCCTTTGTCTGAGATGGAGAGAACTCCCATTTTTATACCCGACTTTCTTCATTTTTCATTGAAAATGGGCAGTTTATAATATGTTTTTCCGATGAGTTTACCCCAAAATTATGTCCGGATACACCTTATTTTACCAAGCTATATTCGTAAAGAGTCATTAAAAGATTATGTATCTCAAATTTGAGAAATCTGTGGGCACCTTTCATTCACTAGATCTTGACCTTAAGTCCAATTAAACTATACAAATTGTGAGCAGAGCAAACAAGGACCTCTGACAACAGAGGTGGGATCAGATGCTATGGAGGAGTGAACATCTCCTGTTGACCGGTCTTACCCGCTGTATGCTCTTTATTCTGATCGGGTCAACGGAAAAATCCGTAGACAATTCGATGTGAAAATGATGGTCCATCAATTTGTATGATAAACGTCAATCAACATTCGACTTAACGATAGATAGTATTTGCAAACACTATTTTAATTCCAATAATTTTCTTCTTTATAAATTGTCGATACAGATATATCCTAGCCATTTGATTTGATTTCTCTGACTAAGGTGCAGTACAATAACTTAGCATTAACATTTTCTTGTTTAATACTATATTTCAGGCATAATTTTACCATGGATCCCACTAGCACTAGTGCCCACATGCGATGTGACCTGTGTAATACCGCTGTGGTGCAAATGGGCTGTGATACATGCCTTGTCAACCTGTGTAAGGCCTGTGTGGGAGAACACATGACATCTGATGAATCCAAAGAACACAAAATTGTGAGATTCACTCTAAGAAAATCTTCTCCTCTCTATCCCTTTTGTGCATCTCATATCAAAAAAAGATGTGAAATGTACTGCAATCAATGTGATATTCCCGTCTGTGCTGCCTGTCTCAGATCAGATCAACATCTTGGTCATGAATTAATAAAAATCTTAAAAGTTCTCGACGAAAAAAAGAAAAAGATAATCAAAGAACAAACTGAATTAAAAAACACAATTTACCCAAACTACCAGGACATTGCCTCTGATGTACAAAACAGAATGAGACAGTTAAAAAAGGAACACGAAGATCTTTCAACAGCCATAACAAAACATGGAGAGGACTGGCACAGAGAAATTGACAAACTTGTCAAGAAACTTAAAGATGAAGTTGATGAGATGAAAAATATACAGTTTCAAACTCTACAGAATCATATGGATGAAATAAAAAAGAAAATTTCTGACATCAAGGATGAAATCAATTCCATTGAAAGATTAGTAAATTACATTGACATCACAAAGCTGATTAATGTCACAACTAATATAGAGGGATATAAAAACTCTCCACAAATAATTGAGCCGTCTTTACCAAAATTTGCACTGGGAAAAATCGAAGGAGACGAATTTAACAAAATGTTCGGAGGTTTATCATCCAGTTTATTAGAAGAAGATAAACTTGATTACAGTATGAAGAGTAAAGAGAAATCACCGGAAGCTTCTCTTCCATTCAAACAATTTATTGATGAACCCGAGATTATCACCACTTTAAACACGAATTATCACTTGCTTTACAATGTGGCCTGCCTGAATGATGACGAAATCTGGACAACTGGACAAGACAGTACCATAAAACTCTTCAGCATCAGTCAGGGATCACTACTCAAGTCAATTGCAACTAAGTCAGAGTACAGACCGTATGACATAGCAGTGACAAAAAATGGAGATTTAGTTTATGTTGATACCATGGATGGAACTGTAAACATTGTGAAGAATAAGAAGATACAAAAGATGGTGAGAAAAAAGAGCTGGATACCCAATGGTGCCTGTAGTACCACCTCTGGTGAATTTTTATTTATCATGTACAATAATGATAACGAACGAACACAAGTTTTCCGGTACCATGGTTCCATGGAGAAACAAAGCATTGAGTTAGATGAGGAAGGTAAACCTCTCTACTCATCTGGTCCTGCAGGGAGATGTATAACTGAGAACAGAAACCTGGATATTTGTGTGTCAGATAATAAAGCTAGAGCAGTAGTGGTGGTCAATCAGGCCGGAAAACTGAGATTCAGGTACACTGGACATACTCCTGCTCCAAAGAATGAACCATTCAGTCCTCAAGGAATCGCCACGGACAGTCAGGGTCACATTCTTACTGCTGACTATATCAATGACTGTGTCCACATCATAGACCAGGATGGACAGTTCCTCCATTACATACACTGTGGAATTTCTGGACCTTTGGGATTGTGTATAGATACAGATGACAGTTTGTTTGTTGCTGAATATAGAAGCAAACAAGTAAAGAAAATCAAATTTCTGATGTGAAACTATAAATAAAAAAATTACAGCACATATAGAATATGAAAATATGTACATTGGTCGAATGATCATGATTTATGAGGAAGATACGAACATAAAAAAAGTCATATTTTCCCTAGGGTTTCGCTGATGGGGAATAGGATTTTCTTTTGCTGAATAAATTTTCATATCTCCAAAAAATCCATGCCATAAATTATTTATTCTAACCTATTTATCCTAACGTTTAAAATCAAACACAAGTTTAAAGATAGGTACCGCTTTAAAATTTACTTTGAGTTAAAAAGAAAATGTCGGAACACTATTTTGCAAGATTTGTTCTTTTAAGTGTATTTAAAATCCCCGTCGACCGGTCACAACCGCCGTGTGTTCCATGTCATGATCGGGAAATAACGGAAAAATCCGTCAACAAATCAGTGTGTAAATAATGGCCTAACAATTAATATGAAAAACATTAGTCCGCATTAGACTTGATGACAGATGGTATTTGATGACATGGTCATTGTATCGACCATAGAACTTACTAAATGATGGCTTTAGACGAGACTGTTGTTATTCTTGTTTCATCAACTTGTTTGTCAATAGCTTACCTCGTTTTAGAAATTGTTCATACGTAGAGCATGCTCTTGCGTATCGAATCAACTGAGAGATATAAACCCCATATGCAGTTGATAAGGGTATATTGCTACATACGTAAGGAAAGTTGACGGTAGAAATGTTGAAATCTTCACGTATCATAAAGCTTTGTTGTTAGGTAACCATTACCGTCTTTTTCTAGTAAAATATCCAAATATGAAACAGATGTGTCAGACTCTGTAGTCTTTTTAATTTCAAGCTCACTGGGATATAACGTGTCGACATATGAATGGAAGTAACTATTGTTAATTGATAATACATGGTCGATAAATCTAAATGTCGAGTTGAAGGCCACAGCAAGTTTGTTTTTCATCTGAAGAATAAGATTTTGAAAAAATTCCGCTTCATATGAATACAAAATAGGTCTGCTAAAAACGGAGCACAATCGGTACCCATGGGAATTCCGACAGGTTGTTGAAAGACCTCGTCTCCAAAACCACATAGATATTGTCAATCAGAAACTCAAGCATCTTTTTATTATCAACGTCAGAGTACTTGTGTGTACAATCGGAATGTTTTTAACAAAATAGTTTTGCAAATGACCAATGACAAGGTAAGAAAGTGTACGAGTTCCATTCTTATTGAAAAAGCAGCTGCCAATGTCAAAAGCCTGGACTTTAATTTATCGTAGGGGATGAATAAAGAGTTGAAAAGTTGTAAGTTTTTATGTTATTGGTAAAATTTTGTGATTTCAAATTTTCCAAAATATCCTAAGTATCCACATCTGATTTACACCACTTGTGCAATATATTGTTGCATAGTACTAAAGTTTCTCCTTCACCGCTGTTTTAAGAATCTTTTGTTCTCTAAATCGAATGTGTACTTCTCACTTTTAATGTAAAGCAATTCTCTGCCAAGAAGGATAACTCCGATAGGAAAATCTGAGTGTTCCGACATTTGGTTAATTTGGAAAATTTGGTTAACCCTAACCCCACAGTGGATTTTGTACTTATAGTCACACGGAAATTATTTCCGTGTGACTATAAGTATACTAAATCCACTGTGGGGCTATTTATTAACTTATAGACCTGGAGTTTGAACTCTAACTGTACATCTCAGAGAGGCAGGGGAGAAAACAGGAATCTGTGTACTCTATGTAAAATATAAGGATTTGCAATAAATAAAATAAAAAAAAAAACTTTTTCAGGTACTAAGGACTTGACAGAGCTGATTATTGCAAAAAAATTGTGCCATCTTTACTAATTTTAACACCATGCAACATTCAAGGAAAAAAAAACTTAGCAAAATATTTGTAGCCTTAATCACAAAGTATCCTTTTACAACAGAAAGTCATAGCTACAGCATTGAGACAACTCAGAATTAACGATCTGAATGTGGACCCCCCTTCCAGTCAAATGACTGCTTGAAGAGGCAGAGAATGTCACCACAGTAGACACTAGGTTCAGACATCTTTATTATGTGACAAGTGTGAATGATGAAGAAATCTGGACGCGTGAAGTGGACAACACCATGAAACCCTATAGCATCGATTAGGGATCGATGCTCAGTTCAATTGGAACCGAGTCAGAGAAGAAGCCATGTGACATAAAAGTGACAAAAAGTGAAGATCTAGTGTTTACTGATTATGACGAAAGATTTGTGAACATTCTGAAGAAAAGAAAATAGAAGGGGTGATCAAACTACAGGATTGAAGACCTGATAGTGTTTGTATCACCTCCTCGTTTGAACTGTTACAGTCCCTGAAACGTTCTACTTTCCCACTTGAACGGTGAGCGAACACTGAACGAACGGTGAACGAACGCAGAGCGAACGGTGAGTGAACGATGTGTGAACGCTGAACGCAACTTGGTGAACGGTTGGTGAACGCTGAACGGTGAGCAAACGCGAGCGCAAAGTGAACGGTGAACGAACGGTGAACGCAAGATGAACGATTTATTCGGAATGCCTCTGATCTTTTCCTTGCATTGAAACTATTGTACTGTATTATAATGTCAGGTGCCAAAAAATAAATAAACAGACAAATCAATCAATAAATAAAATAAATAAATAGAATAAATGTTCCGAAATTGGCATAAGAAAGACGATACATGTACATTAAGTAAAACTATATATTAATTTGAGTTTTACAATATTTTCTGCACATACATTTATGTATGATTTAAAACTTTTGTAATCACACCACGATTTTTATCGCTGTAAAACATTGTAATTGTTACCGAATACTGTAGTATAAAAGATAAAATTATTCTAGTTGTAAAATAAATATGTTTATTCTTATCTGATATAAAAACTCATAACAGATAATGTGGATTTTAGAATGGAAAACCACTGACTTATAGAATGAATTACAACGGTTTTAACAACCATACATGTATTTGCGTGCAAAGGCGATTCCGTGTAAAATAACAAGAAAAAAAAAATTAAAATATTTTATAAAGGTCCATGGGCGTATTGCATTTTAAAATTTTCATGCAATAATTTATTTATGTACCATTTCTATTTTTTATGATGATTTATTGAACAGACTTCCACATGTATCTGTAGACATTTCCCAATGGTTATACTCGGACAAGATGATACAAAAAGGCATTCATATTATTTGTTATAGATTAAATTTTCAGAATTTGATACATGTATAAAAGTAATATGCTGTCGTGGTTTTATCAAACAGACAAATGAGAGAAAGAGAGAAAGAGAGAGAGAGAGAGATTCCGTTTAACCCTCCCCCCCCCACCCGCTTCTCCAAATGTTTGTACCTGTATCAAACAAGAATTCTTAATTCTTTTTTTCTAAATATATCAGGCAGTGAAAGTAACCATTTTTTAAAATCAACAAATCCATTTGTTTAGCAGTCATAATCTCTATTTTCCTGCTTCAAGTTCACACGAAGTCCACGTGCTTGTCCTGTCAATCAAAATCATTCGACACTGTGGTGTGCAGGTTTGAAAGTCTCGTCACAACATAAAAGAAGTGCTAGTATTTCCAAAAAGTTTCAATTTTTTTATGAATTCTAGTTTTCTTAATAAATAAGTAAATAAAATACATTGACCCATGTGAATAAACACTTGGAATGATTCAGCCGCGTGAATGTGAAACATATCCTTCCTGCAATTTTAAAATACCATCGCCGGCACTTGTATATTTTGAAATACAATTGTTTAATGACTTTTTTAGATGCATGTATGTTTTGAGACTGATTTTTTTGTGCTACAAAACGCATTTACTTCTTTTTAAACGTTAATTGAAATATACTGGAAATACTGACTAATTAACGGATTAAGGAGAAAAAAGGGGGAGGGCTTTTAAACATATCGAATTTCAAACATATAAAGTTACGGTGATCATGAAGGAAGGAATTTTTTCTCTCTAACTATAGATTTTATATATATGTAAAGTAGAAAAAAATTGTGGTGTATTATATGTTTAAATAATTTTTTAAACCACACTATCGATTTTATTCGCTCCAAAGATATTTAATTAACTGAATATCCGCAGTACTATTTATAAATTCTCAGAACTGGTTCTAATATTTATTTCTATAGTAATTGAAAAAAATGGTAGAAAATTAATAGTTTCGCTCGTAATTTTGCTGTAGTTGGTAAATTAACAGACTTGGATTATTATCTCTCTATTAACCATTTGTCGTCTTTGACATAACAACAAAATGTTGCAGTGCTTGAAGTATCTGTATAGTGTCCGTATTTAAATTTATTTTCAGCATCGTTCTACATAGGTACATACTTATAACAACATTTATTTTCCAGAGTAAATTAATAAATAACATAAAAGCTAAATTACAATAATAAAAAAATATTGTAGATATTTTTTTCCCATGAAATAATGATTCTTTAAACACGATATGTTAATTAATCAAATTGCGAAAGCTGTAAATCCTTACTTACACTGTACAAAAAGATAAGTCCTTTCACTTCAGAGTTCCGAATGACAGTAAAGACTGAACGATAAGTGAACGCTGAACGCAAGGTGAACGCAAAGTGAACGAACGAAGAGCGAACGCTGAACGCTTTGTGAACGGTGAACGCGAGCGCACGGTGAACTCTGAACGCGAAACTGTGAACGGAGAGCGAACGGTGAACGCACGCTGAACGAACGGTGAACGCACGCTGAACGAACGGTGAGCGAACGGAAAAATGGGAAAGTAGAACGTTTCAGGGACTGTAGCTACCCATGTATAGTGTTCATGTCAAACAAATAAAGTTATCCACTACTCGGCTTTACAGAGAAACAATCATTTAGTTTGATGATGAAGGTGAACCTCTATATTCATCTGGTTCTTATAGAAGTATATAACAGAGAAAAGGAACCTTGATATCTGTGTTCTGACGCTTTTGCTAAAGCAGTAGTGGTGATCAATCAGGCCGGGAAACTGAGATTCGGATACACTGGACGTACACCTGCTTCAAAGAGCTAACCATTCAGTCAACGAGGAAATGTACACAAGAGACAGTCAGAGTCACATCCTTACAGCCGATTATAACAATTGATGACTGTGTCCACATCATAGACCAGGATGGACAGTTCCTTCGTTACACAGACTGTGAAATGAGTGATCCTCGGGGACTTGTACAGATATAAATGACTTTTTATTTGTTGCTCAACATAGATGTAGACAAGTTAAGAAAATCAAATACCTGCTGTGAAACCAGAACTCAAGATATTGAATATCAATATGAAATAGTTCTATGAAGTTTTACCGTACTGATGCACTTTGTGCTATTCTTTATTACCCGACTGCTTCATGCATATTTTAGTTTTGATAACATATATTCCATGTACTTTTGTAACTGTAAGTTTACCGAATGGAGTATTTGTAAGGAACATTTAGGAAGTTGTAAAAGTTTTATTGCTTTGTTGAGTTGTATTACAATTTTATACAGGGTACAAAACGTACAGTTGGGATATTTCAAATTTAAATTCAGGTACCCAAACCATGCTAGAGTTTTGTACACGAATTATACATTTCAGAGTGGCTGAAACTTTTCTGAGGTGTGAATTAGGTTCATTGTACTATGACTGTCAGTAAAAGGAACTTTGGATCGAAGATCCTCGATCTTCGAGTCGCCCTCGTGGCGCAGTTGGAAATCTGGAAAAAATTCAAGATTGAAGCTGGAATTACCAACTTTAAATTTGGAATGACTAAGTTTAAAAAAAATAAAACATGGCCCTTATGCGCTTCCAATATTTGTGTCTAAAGTCCGTACTTGTTTATAAATTCTACAACAGGGGTGGATCCAGAAACGCCCCCCTCCTTGTTGCAAACAAAAACATGTGCGTGTACGCAATACTTTGGCACTGCGCTTATAATGGTATTGCATCGATGCACGCCATAACATTTAAATTGTAAATCAGCAATGCAAGAAAACTTTGACTCTCATGCTTAAACATCCAATGAAGCGATACATATATACATCGTTTATTCAAGTTCACTGGGATATACTACATGTAGTATCAAGTCGACATATGAATAGAATTAACTATTGTTAATTGATACATGTCAAAATATTTAAATGCCGAGTTGAAGGCCACAGTAAGTTTCTTTTTCTTTCTCGTGTATAAGTTTCTGAATTAATTCTGCTTCATATGATTACAAAAATAGGTCTGCTAATGAAAGGCGCAGTTGGTACCTATGGGAATTCCGATAGATTGTTGGAAGACCTGATCTCCTGAAACTACATATACAATGTATACGATGTTCGTATTGTCAATCAGAAACTCAAACATCATTTTATATCAACATCAGAGTACTTGTGTATACACTCAGAATAATTTTTTAACAAAATAATTTTGCAAATGATATATCCCACTAAACTTGAAATAAAAGATACCACAGAGTCTGACACATCAGCTTCATATTTGTATACTTTGCTAGAATGGGATGTTAATGGTGACTTAGCAAAAGTTCATGATAAACATGATGCATAATTATACCTTCATCTCTACCTTCATCTCTTACTTATGTAGATATATATCTTTATCATTTACAAATGGGGTTTATGTCTCCCAGTTGACTCGATGCACAAGAGCATGCTCTACGTAAAAACAATTTCTAATGACACTCGAAACAAACTATTGACAAACAACAAGGCAAGCTATTGACAAACAAGTTGATGAAACAAGAATATTAACAGTCTAGTTCAAAGTCATCATAGAACTTTCGCAATTTCTATGGTCAATAGAATGACCTTGTCAGCTAATACAATCTATCATTAAGTCATGAGCTGACTGATGTTTGTTTCATACTAATTGTTAGGCCATTATTTACACACTGGATTATCTCCGGTTTTTTTTCCGTTTGCCTGTTCATGACAAGGAGCAAACGGCGGAGGTAACCGATCGGCAGGGGATGCTTATTTCTCCATGGCACTTGATCCCACAAATGATGTTTTAGAGGTCCCTGTTGGCTCTGCTCCCGATTTCTATTGTTTCAATAAACTTCTGAGCTTTATTACCGTTTGCTATCTCCATATTTCATTTAATTTGTTTAAAAGTTAATAGTAAAATATTAATTGGTGACTAATTTGATTATCTTTTTGCCTAAGATCTCCCCATGTCTCTAAATTAAGCAACCAATTTAAATTGATCCGGCAGTCTAAAACATTGGATCTATAAATATTTTGTTTGAATATATTACCATTTATGTTATCTTTTTGATTCATCTATGAACTATTAAACGTTTCAATTATATCATTTATGTCTATTTGTCAAGTTCATGCCTACAATGCTTGCAAGTCGGCCTGGATCCTTACATTGTCACCTAATTTTTTTTTAGGTCAGGTTCCAGCTGGCTCCTTTATTTTCTAGGCTACACTGGGGTTTGATTCACTTGTCAGACTTTTTAAAAACACAAACAAAAAAAATTAACCAAGAAATAAATATTAAGTTTTAATTGTATTTAGCATAGGAAAATAGTTTATACTTTTTTTTTTACAAAATAAATACAAAATATGAACACTCTTTTCTAGCTTCTTTTCTTTTTTTTTTTTAATTATTTTTTGCTTATTTTAAAAGTATATCAAGTCATTTTTTTGTCACACAATAGAGTAAACATGGAAACATTTGAGAGAAAAACAGTAATCTGGACGGAATACTGAAAAAATTAAAATAGCTAACAAAAATCCTATGTTATCACTCAAATCAAGGGTAAGGTAAGATTCCATTCACCCTGAAAAAATTACAAATTTAGTATCTCAATATTTTATCATTGCACATAAATAGTTCATTTGAATGTTAATTTTTCCACCATGGAATAAAAGTTCAATTTTAAAGCTCACAAATTGTTTCTTTACCGACTGAAATTCACAATATAAAATAAAATAAGTTTGGCGTGGGTGGAGATGTTTGACCTTCGTTGACCTCAAACTACCACCAATCCCTCGCTGACAGGCATGCTGATAACACCTGTGATGATTGGAACACTCTTTCCGTCCTTCAGAACAAACACCTGTTATAATACAAAATATATAAATTACTAACAAAACACACAAGCACATAAACAAATAATCTGTATCTTAAACTTAACTATAATTCCACGAGTTACAGAAAACCCAGACAAAAAAACTTATTTTCTTCTTAATTTGATACCAAAACCCGTACATATCAGCAGTCTGCCTAAAACTATAGCCTCTTGTTTGACGAACGTAGTGAATAATGGTGAAGATCATGCGGTCATATACCTTTTATTTTGACTAGATATTAAAACGTTAGAACTTAGTAAGGCCAAAATACTACTAAATACAAGATTTTTTTTTTACCTTTAATATGTTTTTGCAAATTTTCTTGGAGGATCTTACGGAGAGCTCTAAGCGCTAACAAATATACTGCCTATCTGCAAACATTTGCTGAAGATGCAGCAACTTTGCTGCATTAAACCTAAAGAAATTGTAACTTAAGAGCTCTTAAGTAATTCAAGTTTATAATCCAGTAAGGCAAAGCTTTTTCTAAACATTCATTAAATATCCTACATAAACATTAACAAAAAAAGTGGCCCATGGACCAAATCGCTCACCTGAGCACTCTGGCTAGGAAAAAGCAGAGATCAGTTCAGTACTGAATATCTTATTAATATATTACTGAATACTTAATACAAAGATTTTTTCCTATGTATCCCTATGTAAAACTTTGATTGCCCATTGTGGCCCTACCCTACCTCTGGGGTTCATGATTTGAACAAACTTAAATCTACACTAAGGATGCTTCCATATGAATTTGATGAATCATGGCTTTGCTGTTCTTTAGAAAAAGATTTTGAAAGATTTTTCGTATGTATTCCTATGTAAAATGATCGCTCATTGTGGCCCCACCCTACCAGCATGGGTTCATGATTTGAACAAAATTGAATCTACACTACCTCAGGATGATTCCACATAAGTTTCATATTTTCTAGAAAAGTGGTTCTTGAGAAGAAGATTTTTAAATGATGCCAATAATTTTTCTTTTACTATAATTTAATTTGTTATTATTTCCCCTTGGAAAAAGACGTGGCCCTTCATTTGAATGAACTTGAATCCCCTTTACCCAATAATATTTTGTGGCAAGTTTGGATGAAATTAACCCAGTGGTTCTTGAGAAGAAGTTGAAAATGTGAAAAGTTTACAATGACGATGACAGATAATGGACAAATTTCGATTAGAAAAGATAACTTGAGCCCTCTGCTCAGGTGAGCTAAAAACTCTTTTTTCTGGAACAAAGAAGAACTTTGAAGAAGGTTTCCTCGAAGATAAAAATACTTTAATACCCCTTATTTTCTTTACATGTGTTAGAACACACAGCTATTTAGGTAAAGATTATTCCTCGGAATTCAGTGTATACTAGGCAGAGATCAGCATGCACTCTCTCAGCACCTTTTAACTTTAATCAGATATTCATGTTCTTTAAAATTATTAATTTCTTTTTTTTAAACTAATTCTGCTAAATATCACAAAAAGTAGTATTACTGTCAGCACTACATGCATCAAGTTTTCAAGACATGAGTTACAATGTTATTTCTATTGACATGCTGTTAAGTTATGCAGACTTTACTGTTTATTCAAAGAGATCCTCGTTCTTGATGCAGACTTTAGACACAGGTTCCACATCAGTGCAGGGCATACTAATTACCCCAGTAATTATTGGGACCTGTGAACCTTCCTTCAAAACAAATGCCTGACCAAAACAGGTCATAAATATAGCAAAATCAATGTCAGTTGCAATTCTTGTTTGTGTGAGAGGGTGTGTTTTTGTGTGTAAACTTGAAGTAGCAGTCCAATGTATTAAAATATTTTAAAATACGATTCATTCAAAAGTAATAGAGTAAGATGCCAATCCAAGTACTAGGCATGATGCAACATTTACAGATAATATGCTTTATAAATCGTAATAATTACTGTCTCCATACCTTGATATTGTCTGAAACCCCTTTGTCACTCAAACATTCAACAAAAGTCTCAAAGGCATAGTTCAGACCAGGAACCAGCATGGGAACCTGATAACCATTGAAAGATATTTAGTAATAAAACCACATATTTTTATCTCAGAAAAAAGGTCATACATTGTCATTTAACAACAGAAAATATCATATCTGATTAAGATCTGGGCTTTACATGAAAGTTATGGCAGAATACAGACCTCTATGAAGGATTTTTTGAAAGAGTACAATTTCTCATCATATAAGAATGTAATCAGTAGACTAGTGGAAGGCTGACTGAGGGACGTGTTCTGTAGATTGACTGTTAGTTTAAAGGTAGGACCGATTCCTTGTACCTGAAAGTAACATTTGCTGTACATATTATATAACCATATTTAACTTTAAAATGTTTTCTGAGGCCAATAAAGAAATGCATTAAAAGCTACAATTTAATGAGTTGAATTCAATAAAAGCATCTTTGGAAATGTATTACAGTATCTTTGTCAAGAATTTGGAAAAAAAAATCTGTGAGAATATTTATCCCAACAACATTTATATGTCGAAACAAGTTTCAACACTTTGAGCCAGATATTACTTGTACTAGTACATATTTACAGACCTGCGCATTAAGTTTGAGTGGCTCAGTGGGATCAGATGAGATGGGATTCATGCTGTTGTCTAGAGACTTGGCATACTCCCTCAGTGTGTTCAATCTTAGTAGATACAAGTCTCTTTGGAATGTCCTGTGCATAGCTGACAAATATAGAATACAGATCACAATATTTAGTTCATATATACAGTAAAACTCGATTATAGTGAGGTTCTAGGGACTTCCGAATTTACTTCGCTCTATCCGTAATTCGCTATACTGTGGAATCATCATTGTTCGTGGGGGTCAATGTTCGTGGGTAACCAAAATTTGACTGGTTCGTGGGGACGTAATTTCGTGGGTAACTTGCATATTTTATTAAGATAAATAAATCAACCGTGTTAAATGTATGTGTGTTTCAATGTTCGTGGGGACGTTAATTCGTGGGTAAGGGCTACCCACGAAATCAACGAACATTGATCCCCCATGAACAATGATGATTCCACAGTATCCAAATATAACGAATTCCTTAAAATACATATTGCATATTTATAATATAGATTTTTCCCTTCAAGTTTGACTACCAAATGTATTTAGGGAAGCATAGAATACAAAATTTACCTTAGAATTCAAAAGTTTTTTGATGAATTGAGTTTCAAATATAAATACTTATAAAATTATGTCAGTTCGATATTTTAGAATTTTAAAAAAAGATGTAAATTGAGTTATTTTTAACGTCTAGGGGACACAAAATCAGTTAGCTGTAACTGTAAATTTGCTATATCCACGTTTGTTATATCAGTAAAATTTTACAAGGAATTGTTAAGAATTTTGCCGGGGATTGCAAAAAACTTTGCTCTATCTGTAAATTCGCTATATCCATGTTCTTACTAAGCAAGTTTTACTGTACAATCCCAAAAAACAACTTTGAAAAGTTTTGTTGAGTTTAAAATTGTAGTTTTCATAAAATTCATTTCAAACCTTAGAGCTCTCCTATAAAATAATATAGATATTAAGATACTTTATTAATCAATATCATAAGTTCTGAGATTTAAACCCAGTAATTATGGTTTATTGAAGCTACTCATTCATTAATGTATGTATTAATTAAAAACATCACTGATGTAGGCATATGTTAATTAGATCATTTCAACAATATGACCAAATGTACTTCTGTTCTTTTTTTCCCTATATATTCTCATGTCAAACTCAGATTCTATCTGGGGCCATGACTTAAAGAAACTTGAATCTTCACTTTAAATGGGAATTTTGTATCAAATAATGTTACATGTACTTAATTAATGTATAGTTCTTCTTCAAAAGCAGATATTTGATTTTTTTTTAAATTAAAACAAATCCTTTCTGGTGGTTCTTTTCTAGATACAGTGATTTTAGTTCCGAGTAATTTAGTGTTCTGGCAGGAATGGCTACATACCTATAATATTGGTTCCAAGCTAGCAATATTTCATAATTCAATTCAGTATATAAATTATATGCAAAAGGCACCTGGCTACCATATAAGAGTTAAAATAAATTATAGAGAATGTTCACTCTTAATTATTTTTAACTCAAAATATAGATACTTAAGAAAAGTAATCTTAATACAAGTAGTAACAAGAGGCCCATGGGGCCACATCGCTCACCTGAGCACATTGGCTACGCAAAAGCACAAATCAGTTCAGTAAAGATTACCGGGGGGGGGGGGGGGGGGGGGGGGGGGGGCTTGAATTTTAAACTACCTTCCATGTCAATTTATCAAATTAATGGCTTTGTTGTACTTGATAAGGTTTAAAAAAAAAAATTCCCATATGTTCCTTTGCAAAAATTTGATCCCCAATTGTGGCTCCTCCCTATCCCAGGGGTCATCATTTGAACAAGCTTGAATCTACACTATCTGAGGATGATTGCATATCACTATGACTAAACTCAGTTTTTCTGTTCTTGAGAAGAAATATTTTTTATTCTATATGTTCTTACGTAAAACTTTCGATCCCCCATTGGGCCCCACCCTACCCCCACAAAGATGGATCCTGGGCCAGAGCGCCGGGCGTGCACCCCCGTTTGAATTTTTTTATGTAGAACTTATATGTCCATTATCCTAAAATCAAGGAAAAACATCTCTTCTTTGTAAGAATTTGTCAGCTTCCCAGACCCCCACCAAGGCCTTGCTCTAGACCCACTGGGGGCTTCAATACAGCCCCCAGACCCACTGCCTCTACTCCCACCCCGTTATGAAATTCCTGGATTTACACTACCTGAGGATGCTTCCATATCAAAATAACTAAACATGATTTTCAGTTCTTGAGAAGAAGATATTTTCCTATATGTTCCTATTTAAAATTTTCAATCCCCCATTGGGCCCCACCCTACCCCCGGGGGTCATCATTCGAACAAAATTGAATTTACACTATACCTGAGGATGCTTCCATATCAAAATGACTTATCATGGCTTTGCAGTTCTTCTTCAGAAGATATTTTCCTATATATTTCTATTTAAGACTTTGATCCTCCATTGTGGCCCCACCCTACCCCCCGGGGGTCATGATTTGAACAAAATAGAATCTACACTACCTGAGGATGCTTCCACATAAATATGACCCATCATGGCTTTGTGTTCCAGTGAAGATTTTTTTAAAGATTTTTCCTTTACATTTCAAAGTAAAACTTTGATCCTCCATTGTGGCCCCACCTTACCCCCGGGGGTCATGATTTGAACAAATTTGAGTCTACACTACCTGAGGATGCTTCCATATAAATATGACCAACCATGCCTTTGCTGTTCTTGAGAAAAAGATTTTAAAAGATTTTTCCTATATATTTCTTTGTAAAACTTTGATCCTCCATTGTGGCCCTGCCCTACCCCCCGGGGGTCATGATTTGAACAAACTTGAATCTACACTACCTGAGGATGCTTCCATATAAATATGACTCATCATGGCTTTGCTGTTCTTGAGAGGAAGATTTTTAAAGGTTTTTCCTATATATTTCTATGTAAAACTTTGATCCTCCACTGTTGCCCCACCCTATCCCCGGGGGTCATGATTTGAACAAACTTGAATCTACACTACCTGAGGATGCTTCCACATGAGTTTCATCTTTCCTGGCCCTATGGTTCTTGAGAAGAAGATTTTTAAAAGACGCTATTAATTTTTCACCTATTCTCTATTATCTCCCCTTGAAAGAGGGCATGGCCCTTCATTTGAACAAACTTGAATCCCCTTCACCCATGGATGCTTTGTGGCAAGTTTGGTTGAAATTGGCCCAGTGGTTCTGGAGAAGAAGATGAAATTGTGAAAAGTTTACAACGCCGCCGCTGCCGACAACGCCAACGACAGACAACGGACAAATTTTGATCAGAAAAGCTCACTTGAGCCTTCGGCTCAGGTGAGCTAAAAATGAATAAAAGTTAGGCCAAGTAAGAAATGAAGGATCACTAATTTAAATTCTCAGTACACACAGACCAGGAAGTAAAAATGTCTGACAGGTAGATATGACAGGTAAGTGGGTCAGGTGATCTCTGCGCATAGAGACAGGCTGTTAACTGCTGACAAGACGACACCATTAAAATCTGCAGGTAATATTCATGGATGAATTTGTTTGATAGATCTTGCTTATTATTACAATAAGATGATTTTAAAAATAACATGGACAAGATTTTTTCAAACAGTATTTTGAATACACATTATAACTACTAGTAAGCATATAATATATTTATGTAAGACTCTATACCCATTAACAAGGACAAAGTTATAAATAGAAAAGTGTTGTCTGCCACTGGTATTTCAGCAGAGACCCGGATTTGACAAATATATAAACAACACATTTTTAGCATCCTGGGTTCATTTCAAAAAGCTTCCTTATAATTAGACTTAATTAATTCAGCCAAAATGTGTCTATAAAGTTTGTTTCATGTATGCCTTTCATATCTTATAATAATATAGTCTTAAAATTTGCTGTGATCTTAAGCTTTTCAAATTTCACATGTACATTACTTGTGACCAGACCTTTTAGAATATAGTTATAATATAACTTCTATTTAAATCAGAAAAGATATTGCTTTCATATTTCAAGAGTGCATTACCTGTCACAATATTGTTAAAAATGTGTAATAATTTTTAATCTCATGACTTTGACCTTGAAGGACATATGTACTTTTTAAAAACTGAAATCTTGGCCATTATGATTTTATGCACCTGAAGAGATAGAGCTTGTTTAATTCTTATGTTTACATGTGCATGCCCTGTGACAAAACGTATCTACTATATAATTAATGACCTTATGACCCTGAAGTTTGACCTACTTTTCAAACATTTTAAGTTGACTGTTTTTGACTAGAAGTGACAGGGTTTTCATATTTTTTTTTTCATATTACCTTTGAAAAGACTTCTGAATGTACCAGTACTATTATTTAAGAACACATGATATAAAACTTAAAAGTTGCTGTTAATTTTGTACAAGACTATATTACTTCAACAAGAGGCTCATTGGGTACAATTCTCACCTGAGTTTAATGCAGCCCTGTTGTTGTTTGGCAAATCCCCCCTCCCCCATATTTTTAACTATGTAAAACCTTGATCACATATTGTGGCCCCATGTACCCCAGGAGTTCATGATTTGGGAAAAAATTGAAATTGCACTACGTGAGGATGCTTCCATGTATAAATGATATGGCTTTACTGTTATTGAGAAGAAGATTTTAAACAAATTCCCTAAATATTCTTATGTAAAACTTTGATTACCCATTGCGGCCCTAGCCTTTACCCAGGGTTTATGACTTGAACAAACCTGAATTTACACTACCTGAGAATGTTTTTAAAAATATGACTTATCATGGCTTTGTTGTTCTTAAGAAGAAAATTTTCAAAGATTTTCCCTATATATTCCAGTGTAAAACTGATCCTCATTGAGGCTCCACCCTATCCATGGGGGTCATGATCTTAACAAATTTAATTCTACACTACCTGAGGATGCTTCCAAAAAGATATGACTGATCATGGCTGGGATGTTTTTGAATACAGGATTTTTTTCCCCTATATTCCTATGATAAAATTTGATTGCCCATTGTTGCCCCACCCTACCATCGGGGGTCATGATTTAAACAAACTAGAATCTACATGATGTAATGATTTTTTTCACTTAAATTAAGTTTCCTATTTTCTGGCCCAGCAGTCTTTAAGAAGAAAATTTTTTGAAAGAGGCCATTAATTTTTCACTAATTCCTAATTATCTCTCCTTGAAGAAGAGCATGGCCCTTTATTTGAAGAACCTTGAATTTCCTTTGCCTAAGGATGCTTTGTGGTAAGTTTGGTTGATATTGGCCGAGTGGTTCTTGAAAAGAAGTTGAAACTGTTTACAGACAGATGGATGGATGGATACTGGACAAAATGTGACCAGAAAAAGTCACTTGAGCTCATATACATTGCCATAAATCATTGCATTTCAAAAAATATAATAATTAACGCTCAAGATCACCATTCTCTGAATTCAGTTATTTGAGATTTAAGTATAAGTCATTTGATTTTTTTATCGAAGTGCTCTAAGAATATTTTAACATATGCCTTTTTTTCATACTAGGCCTTGTTTAATCACGGACCCCCGTACCAGTGCCCAGGACGTGATGCGATGTGACCTGTGCGAGACTGCTGTGGTACAGATGCACTGTGATACATGTCTTGTCAACCTGTGTAAGGCTTGTGTGGGAGAACACATGATATCTGATGAATCCAAAAAACATGAAATTGTTAGATTTACTCTTAGAAAATCTACCCCTATCTACCCCGCATGCATATCTCATGTCGAAGAACGATGTGAAATGTACTGTAATCAATGTGACATTCCTGTGTGTGCCACATGCCTTGCTTCAGATCAACATTTAGGTCATAAATTATTAAAAATCTTACAAGTTTTAGATAAGAAAAAAGAAAAGATCAAAAAAGAACAAACTGAACTAAATGAAATAATACCCAACCTACCAGGACATTGCCTCTGGTGTACAAAATAGAATGAGTCAGTTAGAAAAGGAATATGGAGATCTCTCAACAGCCATAACAAAACATGGAGAGGACTGGCACAGAGAAATTGACAAACTTGTCCGGAAACTTAAGGATGAAGTTGATGAGATGAAAAACACACAGTTACAAACTCTACAGAAATATCTGGATGAAATAAACAAGAAACTTTCTGACATCAAGGATGAAATCAATTCATTTAATACTGTTGAAGACACTAATGAAATTTCAAAGCTTTTTAATTTTACGTCTGTTAACATAGGAAGATATAAAAATCTACCAGAAAAAATTGTGCCATCTTTACCAAAATTCACACAAGGCAGAATCCAAGGTGTAGAACTCTGCAAACTGTTTGGAGCCTTATCACCAAGTTCCCTCACTTCAGAAAAACATGGTTATAGCATGAAGACACTACAGAAATCACCAGAAGCTGGATCCTCTCCTCCAGTCAAACAACTGCTTGATGAACCAGAGATTGTCACCACCATAAACTCTGGGTATGGAGAACTTTACAATGTGGCCTGTCTGAGTGATGAAGAAATCTGGACAAGTGGGAATGACGACACCATGAAACTCTACAGCATCAATCAGGGATCACTACTCAAGTCAATCACAACCAAGTCAGGGAACATACCATCTGACATAGCAGTGACAAAAAGTGGAGATCTAGTTTATACTGATAACTTTGATAGAACTGTGAACATTGTGAAGAATGAGAAGATAGAGAAGGTGATCAGACTACAGAATTGGATACCTTACAGTGTCTGTAGTACCTCCTCTGGTGACCTCCTTGTTATCATGTACAGTAATGATTACACACAAACAAAAGTTGTCTGTTACTCTGGCTCCACAGAGAAACAAACCATTCAGTTTGATGATAAAGATACACCTCTCTATTCATTTGATTCTGATTATATTACTGAAAACAAAAACCTGGATATCTGTGTGTCTGAATGTGGAGCTAAAGCAGTAGTGGTGGTGGTCAATCAGGCCGGGAAACTGAGATTCAGGTACACTGGACATACTCCTGCTCCAAAGAACCAACCATTCCATCCACGAGGAATCACCACAGACAGTCAGAGTCACATCCTTATAGCTGATAATTGCAATCATTGTGTCCACCTCATAGACCCGGATGGACAGTTTCTCTGTTACATAGAATGTGGATTGATTAATCCAATAGGACTGTGCACAGATACAAATGACCATCTTTTTGTTGCTGAAAATCATAAAGGTCAAGTGAAAAAAATAAAATTTCTGCATTGAAAGATCTTATAAGTTTGACCATACCCATGGATTCCAAATTTTACTGCGAGTCTAACTATCAAAAAGTCCATGAGAATCTTTAAGACATGCAGGTGTATTTAAGCTTATACACATTATGTGATGTCAATGTTGACAATAGAAATATTTCTCTAAGTTTAAACTGTAAAAATGAATGAAAATATGGGGAACCATGGGGTTTTATCTCGCAGATACTTCTTTATCCAATGGATTTCAGTCATTGTATTCCAACATGTGATATAAGATACAAAATACTTTTACATTTGTAAACATAGTACATATACTACGAAAAGTTGTGTTTTTTTTTTGCCTTGCTTTCAATACACTCTATTTGTAAAATTATTTACATTGCTTCAGATGAAAGGTAAGTGAAAGAGGCGTGTTGTGTCTTCAGTACATGTGCAAAAGAATTCCTTTAAACTACTAATTGCAATAATAACTCTTGCACATATGTGCAACACCCTTGGCAAAAAGTGAAGTATCTTTACTGATGATAGAAGGCAAACCATTGATCTGTTTGTAGAACACTAATGCCCCATAAGGCAGTGTTATCAAAAGTATTCAATCTCCATCAAGGTTATGGGGTCAAAAATGCTGGTGTCCAAAGAAAGTTCTTGTCACAAGGAATACACAAATGCAATATGAAACCTCTATCAACAAATGTTCAAAAGTTATGGCCAAGGTTAAAGTGTTTTTCAAAAATAGGTCAAATTCTAAGGTCAAGAGGTCATAAATGTTGGTACTCAAAGAAAGGTCATGAAAAATACACATTTCAAAAATGAAAAGCCTAGCACAAACTTTTCAAAAGTCATGGCCAGGGTTCAAGTTTTATAACTGTACAGTAGATCAAACTTCAAGGTCAAGGTCATGAGGTCAAAAACATTGGTACCCCAAAAAAGTCTTGTTACAAGGAATGAAAATGTGGAATATAATTCCCTCTTTCTGAGAAATTGTGATACATACTGACAGCACTCTCTCTCTCCCTCATTGTCTGATCCACAAACAGCTTGGTTTTCTTTGGAACATTAAGACGAGAGTTCTGGGCTGCAGGAGGACCTCCAGACAAATCCTTTTCCTCAAACGTCGCATTCCTCTTCAGAATCTTAATCATCAGCCCTCCACCTAGAGGAAGAGGGACAGAGTCTTAAATTCAACTGGTGTAGATTTTAAATCAATATCCGAGAATAAAGTTTGATACATATGTATACATTTGCAAAATTCTTAAAGCTTCAAAAACTTCAAATTATAGATCTTTTAAGATTTTAGAGTTTTATCTATACTGATGAACACAGATCACCAGATCAATGGCTTCAGCTTATCAGTCCCTACCGGTGAAACCGGAGGGGACAATAGGTTTCCTCTGAGTCTGTCCATCCATCTGTCTAGCTATCTGTCTGTCCCTCTTTCAGTCTGTCCCACTTGGTTTTCTGTACTTTTTTCTAAACGCTCACAGATATTGAGCTGATTTTTGGTATGTGGGTGTATCTTGATGAGTTACAGATCAAGTTTGCATTTCCTTCCGCTTCAACGATTTTTGACGGAATTATGGCCTTTTCAATTTTTCAGGGTTTTTCCGCAATTTTTTTCTGAACGCTTGCAGATATTGAGCTGATTTTTAGTATGTGGGTGTATCTTGATGAGTTACAGATCAAGTCTGCATTTCGTTCCACTTCATTGATTTTTGACTGAATTATGGCATTTTCAATTTTTACCGGGAACCAGATTACACTTGTTGGTAGGGGACTAGTATTGCTAATGCAATACTCTCAGAATGCTTGTTAAACCATCATATCATCTTGAGTGCTTATGTAAAGGAACTGATCTGAAAGGATGATGTGCCATACGGCCCCTTGGTAGAATTAAAAAAAAATAATAATCCGAATTTTCCACTTATTTTTGCATATACTTAATCTTTGACATATGTACCTTTATGGAATACCACCTTTACGGAAAATAAGATGATCAGATGTAAGATATATTATTAATTTCAGGTAGGGGTAAACTGTTTACATCTAATTCCCATTCATTTTTAGCCACCCCACTTTACAAAGCTCTTAAAATACATGAGCGCAAGTAGGTACATTTTTCTCTCTCGAATGGTCACTGTATTTTATTAAAATCTACCTACAGTTAAACTTCGTTATCTTGAAGTTGACGGGACTGTTGATGAACTTCGAGATATCCGGGGGTTCGACATATCGAGGGTTATAATTCTAATGAACTTCAAATATACTTAGTGCAGTGAACATGCACTTAATAGTAGAAACATGTAAAATTCCTTCTCGTTTGAAATTTTATTTACGATTTCTTTAATATACAATCATGTATTTAGCATTAAAAAGATTTTTACATCCTTTTTATAATTCACAAAATAAATACTTTGTATAATATGCACAGAAGTATCATCCTTCTACCAACCCGGCAAGTCAACTGCAAGCATCGTTTCCCATGTATACGTAACCGGATATCATCTATGCATTGTAAATTTAAAACCGGTCGCTGTCAGAATAACGCAAACGAAATATATATACATTTTTTTTATTGGAAAAACATGTTCACACATGTATAATCAGTTAAAAGAAAATTATTTTACCATAATAAAATCAAATGCAAAAGAAGAATCACGCACTTTTGTCTAACAAGAGAACAACACGGAATCACAGGGCACCATAGCACAACTTGAGTTTTCACTGCGACACACGCTGATGGTTGTAAATTCTCTGCACTCATATAGAAAAAATAAATTCTTATTGCATTAAATGACAGAATTTTGTTTCACATTGTTTACAATTTTCGCTTTCATATGCATAAACTATGCAAGAGCGCATATTACACATAGCATTAAATAGCGATTATCAAGATACATGTCATCCATGCGTATGCATAAGACTAATACACACAACCTTTGGCTTGCTTAATTAAAATCAAGGTAAGCCATACTTACACATCATATAATTATCGCCCTATTTTCTATTGATCACAGGAACACAGGTAACCCGTGTGTGACAGACAGGTGGTTGTTATCAACAGAGCATTCAGTTTACCTAACGGACTTGATCATCAGAGCGGAAAATTATCCCGACTTCGAGATAACGCATGTGATTTTAATGAATGGGTACACAATTTTACTTCGAGATAACCGGGGTATTCGACATTACCGTGTTCGACATAATCATTTCTAATCATTTATAAAGCAAATTTCGTCGGGACTGTGGCCTTACTTTGACATATCCAGGGTATTCGAGATATCCGTGTTCGATATTTCGAAGTTTAGCTGTATATGTGAAAGGAGAAAATTGTACCTCAATGCGATCAATTCATGTGGTTAAAAACTTTCAAAAATCGAAATGGCCTTCCCCATTGTAAACAATTGTTATTTACCTGGCGTGAACTCACCTGACACTTTGTAACCAGATGAATACACAACTTTTTTTTAGTAAGTGTACCATGTGGTAACATTCTTCTCACATGTTGTCGACACTACTTGTCAGCTCATATCATGGCAATTTGGCTTCATTTATATATGTACTAGATAATAAATCTCTAGCTTAAATTGTTGATTATAATAAAAACAAGAGGCCCATGGGCCACATTGCTCACCTGAGCACATTGGCTAGGGAAAAAAGCAAATAGAACTGTCCAAAAGGGACAAATACCCCCCGCAGGGGTTTTCAGAGGTGCCAAATCACTAATATTTTATGGATCTAAGAGGTGTTCACAATTTTCTTATAAACATTTAGAGTGAAAAAATAATTGCTCATTATATTTTTTTAATGAATGAAACCAAGGAACAACCTAATAAAACATCAATACCAATACATTGTAATTACATTGCTTTTTTTAATACATTGAAAAAATAAATTGTAGCTATCTGTCATCTTTTTGAGACATGACACTCTGCAAATTGATTGTTGAAAAAAAAATCAATTAATTACAAAATCAAATTAATCTTGATAACTTTATCAAAGATTATCTACTTAAAATAACACACCTTTATTTTGATAATTAATTGATTGCTTGAGGTTTTCAACTCCCATGGATACATCTGTACTTTCTTGACAGGTAAACATTGTCATGTGATATGAAAACCTATTCTGTCTTAACATGCATACTCCTCTATTGTACTAAGACCCACCCATTCTTTTCATTTTTATTCATAAAACAACAAATGGTCAAAACCATGATGAATTTTGCTGTTACAGGGTCTAAAAAATCAACGATAATGCGGTATTCCTCATAAATATGAAGTATCCAAACTATTAAAAACTGTTCACTCTTATTTAAAAACTATCAAAATCATTGTAGATTAAATATAATTTGTTGCAGAAAAAGGGGCCACTAATAGTGGTTTTGGCACATCATCCTTTGATAAAATACATGTAGTCATAAATTGTTGCAAAATTAAACAGATCTGATAAACTGACTTAAATACTATAGTCTATTGTCTACTCAATTCATAAATTCACTTGACAAAGAAAACCACATCATTTATACCAGCTGTATTTGATACATGTATGTCCAAATTACAAAACACTTTACACATTGAATTATATGTAAATCATCATAACTGAGAATTGGACTTGCAAAACTATAATATGACCACCTGAGTAAACCTTTTTGGCAGTTACTAGCAGCATTCTTGGAGAAGCTAGCCTGATGACTGATTAGTTTCATTAAGAGAAAAATTTCACATTATACATATAAGATGTTTGATGGTGTGCCTTTGGGGATAATGCAGTTTGTATCTATTAATGGATACCTTTATGTACATTTTAATTTAAATCCACCTCTTCAAACAGCACCATTAGCTTAGTCTGTAATGTCACATCATGGGTCATATGAATATGTTACTTATATTTCCATGACTGAGTCAAAAGAATTTAGCAGCATTTTATCTAAAGTAATTTTGATAAAAGCACGGTGAGATATTTTATTTTAAGTGTGAACTTTTTCTGGTGTTGCCATAGGAGCTTGCAGTGCAAGTGGCTTTTTGCCTCATCATTACATTTGCTATTGCAAGCATAGCTTAGATACTCAAAAGTTATGCGTAGTGTGTACCTTTCAGGGTCATTATGAGAGTTCCTTCCTCTCGGCCAAACTGTCCAAACTTGAGCCCCGTCACCACGTCATCCGACTTGATTACATTGACGAGGTACTTCTCCTTGTAGATGTGGACCTGACAGTTATTGAGTGCCACTATCACAGCCTTAAAGCCTTTACTCTTGTAGTCTATCACCTCCATAGTTGTCATACTCCCCGGTAATTTTACTGTCCATAACTTCTTACCCTATATAATTTTATTACAGATATTCAACAATCTTCTTACTGCAATTTATGTTTTCAATTAAATATATGAAGAGTAGACAGCAATATTTTTAGTCTACACAAAATAAAATACACAGGTTTATTTCCAAAGGCTGTATAGCATTAAGACTGCCAGAGGATCAGTTCATGAATTATACAATATACAGTTAAACTTTGGTTTCTCCGACACCGATATCTTGAATGCAATGGATATCTCAAAGTGATTTTGAAGTACAAACTACTTATTTTTTAAGTATCTTACCCTTGAAATATCAAATCCACAGATATCTTGAACTTTTTTTCTCAGTCCCACTGAGTTCAAGATGATGAGTTTTGACTATATACATTTTTTTACCTTTGATGTATAGCAGTGTAGAGATTCATCCATTGTTCCCACATAAATTGTTTTGTTGATCCTTTCCAGACCTACAGGCTGAGAATTCAACTCAATACAATTCTTTGTGGGGTCAGTTGTCCCTCTGAAAATTTAATTAGAGTTTGTGTCAAAATTAACTTCACATAGCCAGATAAATTCTGTATATCTAACAGATTTATAAACATTTCATTGTGATACACTGACCTTTTCAATGTGTATATACATCCATTACGACAAGCTACCACGATCCTGTACTCCACGTCATAAAGACCAGTCACACTGAGAAACACAGGTACTGCAGGCAAATCAAGCTGTAACACAATTAATTACAGGTGAAAAATGTAAGTCTATATGATTCAATGGTCTCTGTAAAAAAAACATCTTTTATATAATTTGAATGTACAAATAAAATTACAGTTGAACTTTGTTACCTGAAACACTGATCGATCGATACTATATGAATATGTCAAAGTGATTTAGAAGTACCAACAACATTCTCTAAGTATTTTACCCTTGATATCTTGAATCCTCAGATATCTCAAAGTTTTTCCTTTGACTGTATTATTTTTGAAAAGTAAATGCTGTAATTTGGATAACAATATAGGTGCCACATTGTATCATTTCTATGTTCAACTTGAAGTTTTCTGTGGTAGATCTTGACTTACTGTGGTAAGTACAGTGAAGGCCTCAGGGTCAAGGACATACACTGATTTACTCTCTGTACCCAGAACCAGACAACTGATGGCGTCTTCCTCCGCCATAGACTTCTTCATAGTACTTAAACAAGTTATCACAGTCTGAAATATTGTACAAGTTCTGATTATGCAACAAATGATAAAATAAATCATTATCATGTAGTTCCACTATGATGAAAGAAATGCATGATGATAAAGATATTCTGTGATAAACATGTAAACTTAATTTAACCTCATGTCTTAGTGAATTAAAAAAATGTTAATGCACTGTAAACATAGGTTGTTTAAAAATTTGTTTAATTTCATTGTGAAAGTTCTGCAAAAATATTCCTTTGAATATCACCTCATTTGTACAATGTACCTAAGTTGGCAAAAAGTTTATCAAACTGACATTACAAAATGAACAACTGTTAAATGTCCATATTTGTTGTACTTTTACGTTTCTTTAGTGGCATGTGCTTCTTTGTGACATGTTTCTTTTGTGACATGTTTCTTTTGCAACAAGTATTTGTACTAATTTATCTATCTTTTGAGTATATTTGTACTAGATTTACCTGTCTCTTTAGTGGTGTGTATTTGTACTAGGTTTGCCTGTCTTTTTAGTGGAGTGTGTTTGTACTAGATTTACCTGTCTCTTTAGTGGTGTGTGTTTGTACTAGGTTTGCCTGTCTTTTTAGTGGAGTGTGTTTGTACTAGATTTACCTGTCTCTTTAGTGGTGTTTGTTTGTACTAGGTTTACCTGTCTCTTAAGTGGTGTGTGTTTGTATTAGATTTACCTGTCTCTTAAGTGGTGTGTGTTTGTATTAGATTTACCTGTCTCTTAAGTGGTGTGTGTTTCTACTAGATTTACCTGTCTTTTTAGTGGAGTGTGTTTGTACTGGATTAACCTGTCTCTTTAGTGGTGGGTGTTTGTACTATGTTTACCTGTCTCTTTAGTGGTGTGTGTTTGTACTAGGTTTACCTGTCTCTTTAGTGGTGTGTGTTTGTACTATGTTTACCTGTCTCTTTAGTGGTGTGTGTTTCTACTAGATTTACCTGTCTCTTTAGTGGTGTGTGTTTATACTAGGTATACCTGTTTCTTTAGTGGTGTGTGTTTGTACTAGGTTTATCTGTCTCTTTAGTGGTGGGTGTTTGTACTAGGTTTATCTGTCTCTTTAGTGGTGAGTGTTTGTACTAGGTTTACCTGTCTCTTTAGTGTTTGTGTTTGTACTAGGTTTATCTGTCTTTTTAGTGGTGTGTGTTTGTAATAGGTTTACCTGTCTCTTTAGTGGTGTGTGTTTGTACTATGTTTACCTGTCTCTTTAGTGGTGTGTATTTGTACTAGGTTTGCCTGTCTCTTTAGTGGTGTGTGTTTGTACTAGATTTACCTGTCTCTGTAGTGGTGTTTTTCTGTACTAGATTTACCTGTCTCTTTACTGGTGTGTGTTTGTACTATGTTTACCTGTCTCTTTAGTGGTGTGTGTTTGTATTAGGTTTACCTGTCTCTTTAGTGGTGTGTGTTTGTATTAGGTTTACCTGTCTCTTTAGTGGTGTGTGTTTGTACTATGTTTACCTGTCTCTTTAGTGGTGTGTGCTTGTACATGTTGGCAAAAGTTTCACAATCTCCAACATCCTGTAGTTGTAGAAATCTCAGTGACCTTACAGTTAACACAATGCCTTCAGCCCTATATTAAATAAAATCACATCATTAAGCTACTGAAGCTAGTGCTGAGAAGGATGTTATTTTAATGTACTGACAAATTTTAAACAAGTTTTATACTGAAGTTCAGCTTCTCCATTACAAAGTTAATGCTCTGTTGAATAGACAACTGATATACTGGAATGATAAGTAGGGATGGCAAGTTTACTTGGATAATCTAGCTAGAGTCAAATAATCTTCACTAATAATAAATAGGACCCTCTTACCTCATTCCCTCCAGCATTTCCCTCAGGACAAATATATTTATCTTTTCCTGCAATATTCAACAAGTAATTTTTAAATTAAAGATTTCATTAAAACTCTTCCACAAACACCGTACTGGTATAAAAGCTTCAGTCTATAAAATTCAGACACATTTGACTTATGTATGTACCTCTTTGACCTGATTCCAGAGATCAGCCTCCACTGGGTTGACCTCTAGTGTTGGCAGGGTGAACTTGAAATATGGCCTCAAATTCTTGTATACATAAATGTAAGGACCTGAAGCTACAGCTATGGCTGAAATATCATAATAATGAATTTGTTGTTAAAAAATTATTAGTTTCATATGAATTATTAAATATGTTCATACGTTGCAAAACATTATGTGAAAGATCATAAAAGCTGTACTGCTTTGCAAAAATTTCTAGACAATAAAGATAATATCAATTAAACTCTCATATTATTGTTTTAATCAAAACTTATTATGTCTTACAAATTCAAATGAACTTTGGGGCAGGAATCATCTTATTAAAATCTATGGATGATAAACATAAATTATTGAGTTAACAGTTTTCATTTCTAGACATACTCATACCTGGTGTTCGTGGTTCATGTGTGTCCATGTAAAATGTCACGACTCCTGTTGGTAAGTCAATTATCGTGTGCTCGCTCATTAAATTCGTCCCTGAAATATACAAGAGGAGAAAATTATAGATTAATGTTGGAAATTTCGAACAATTATTCGTAAATAAAAAAAAAACAAACAGCTGCATCTAAATCTAGCACAGAAGATTATCCTCCTACCTTTGTAGACTTTCAGTTTCATGTTGTATGTCCCTGTCCCCAGATCAGCTATGATTAATTTCCAGTCACCATCAGCTTGGACATCAGACAGACAGATACACTGGGTTAGTGTGTAAAGAGAGGCAACGGGGTCCTTATAAGCGTCCAGCCATTTATCATTTCCCATCGTACTACAAAAACCAGTCATCATGATAACAAAGCAGAGCTTATTGTTTGTACCATTACAGGAATTGAGAAGCAATTGAATTGCTGCAGTAATTTCATATCTAAAATAGTTATGCAATTTAAAAGAAACATAGTCATAGTCATTTGTCACTTTAAAATCATTGTTTTAAGCCCTGGGTTCAAACTATCAGGGCTCCAAATATTACCTCTAATAAGAGCTGCAAAATAGTTCCGTTCACAATGTATGTACCTTTTATGAATTTATGCAAAAGGCAGTTCAGGGAAAAGATGAAGGTCATGCTTGTTGTTTTTGCAAAACATTTAAGGAGTCTGATTGGCTATCTTGGGATTTTTCATGTAGCAAAATAAACACAGGTGATATAACTCCAAAATCGGTGCATTTACTATGAAAATCCAGAGAGTTCTAAATTTCAACATGATGTGTAAATACGAAGCGATAAAAAAATGTTGAAAAATGAGTTGAATTTTTGCTTGATATGGATTATTTTTTTTTAGGTTAAAAGGCATATACAACCTCAAAAAAGGTTTGTCATGATTAATTTGGTAGTTATTTTCAGTGCAACTCCTTTTGTATTCTTCAAAATCATTTTGGAGCAAATCCGCTCCGGTTTGCTACATTGCAACTACATGGGACAAATTCTATCTATGGCAAGGGCTTGTCAGAGACACAGTTTGATTATTCTAACTAATTATGACTGGGCTCTCAACTGACTTTTTGGGACTGGGGCTAGGGCCATAAAATTGGAAAAAATCAGCAAGCTTTTTGGGAGTTGTGGGGAAATCATTATATATATTAAAATCATTCTATATTAGGTTTCTAGTTTTTCTGATATAAACAGGTTATAATTTGTGAAAGAATGCAATTCCAAGTACTAGTGGTTTAATATGCTAAATAGTAAGTGCAGCAAGCAGTGCAAAGCCCGCTCATCACTGCGAGCTCTTAAAGCAGCACCCGGGAGAAGAGAATATTCGCACTTTGCACATTGATCCAAATTATTTTTTTTTCTGCAGTACCTTGTGGTCCCATAATGCTTTGTGAATTGTATCTCACCGCAAACTACGTTCTTGCAGAAGCAACAAAAGTTCAACAAAAAATAAAATCACAATGATTTAATGGATATTGCAGAAAAACAGTCGATTAAACATTCTTCAATATTTACATTTGCTATGTTTTTCTACTAAGTCAACTGTGAAATTGATTTGAATACCATTTTCGTGTATACTCACACATAGAAATATGCACAGAGAAACTTGCCCTAAAGTGATGTCACAATGAGCTACAGAGATGTTAATAAAAATGTAACGATATAGGGCAGCGATTAATTCAAATATTGAGTTTATTTTTGGTGCTTTTAAATATGTAAAATGTAAATATAAGGAATGTTTTCAAGTTTAGTGTGAATTATTGGTGTGTAAATCACACAGACTTGCACGTCAGCATATTTTTCATGAAGCGCTAGCACGCTTCATGAAATATACCTATGTGACAAGTCTGTGTGATTTACACATCAATAACTCACACAAAACTTAAAAACATTCCTTAATTAAAATTAGCACTGTTCAGGCTTTACTTGCATAGGACATCATAGTCTAGACGTACCAAATGTCATGTGCGGTTTGAAGAGACAGATGTAAATGAAAACTGAATAGGTATCTGCAGTCGCATCGTCAACATAGTATATATAATGTTTTCGTTCCTCTATCAAATTATAAATAATAAGCTGTATCCATAAAGTTAAGAGCATTTATCTATGTTCAGCATTAACTTTCCTACATGAAATGACAGAGTGCAGTATAAAATTTATAATAAAATTACCCAATCGTGTCATTTTCAACCTGATCTTTGTCTTCGCTTGACATCATTGCAAAAGTTTATTATCTTCTCTTCAAACAGGTCTGTTGTTCCTTATCTACATCGGCTAATTATGTGGTAAACCATCGATTTAGACAAAAAAAGTCGGTAAATTTGTTCAATTGTTGCGAATGAAAACAATTTCACCGGAAATACTCTTCGAAATGAATTAAACAACTCAACCATGATTGATATAGAATATTCAAAACCTTAAAGCTTGTACATAACCGTAATCCTATTATGAGTTAGAGGATATATATATATATATAATCAATGTTAATATCACATATAAATGTAATTATCAGAATATTTTTCATCATTAAATTAATTGAATCATTCGTTGACAGGATTGTCTAAGTGTATAATATTGGCGCCATATTTCGAAGTCGTAAGTCAGAGAACGACTGAACGAGGTAACCGAGGTTTTTCTTTGATAAATTTTCAAATAAAGGTGCAGTTTTATCCATTCGTTTAGTATATTTAAGTTTTGCAATCTTTTTTTTTTTTTGGTGTAAATTGTTAACTCAACCTCTGCATTTAGCAATGTTTACATTATGTAAACATTGCATTGTAGTATTTGCATGTTTATCTTGACCAGTTAACATTGTTATACCCCCGTCCGAAGGAGAGGGGGGTATAGTGTTTTACCCTTGTGTGTCCGTTGAACTGTGCTCAACAAATTTTTGTTGCAATTTTCTCAGCAACTACTCTTTGCAGATGAGGCATGTCATATGGTGGGATTCATTTTTGTAAGAAACTGATGTCTTTAAAGGTGCTTAGACACAGATTTGAAGTTAATATTTACTCAAATTTTCTGTATAATTTCATGACTTCTATGTTGCTATAGCATTTCATATGAAAATTTGATAAAAATCTTATTTTATCTGGAAGTTATTGAAACTTCAAATTTCTAGACGCGTTTGATCAGGTCTGGGCGGCCTCCGTTTTTGGAGGATAGCTAAATTCAATATGGCGGCCAAATTTTTTACCATATATGGAAACCGCGTTGCATTGTAGGATAGTTTATCCTCCGATTTCAGAGGATAACACAGGTAATTTTCAAACACCTCGTGCCTACCTTTAATCAAAAAGTGCAAGCACCAGAGTACATTCAAATAAAAGTTCAGACATTGAACTATCGATTGTATGTGGCGATTTGAGATTCTATGTTTAGATATTTTGCAATTTATTTTCAAAGTTAGCACTTTTTGCGCTCCATCATTACTGAATATTTCTTGTTATTTTGTTTTATTTTATATGACTTTTCCCTATTTAGACAAATAAAAAAGGACTTTAATATTTCTTTTATATTTTCTTTTAATTCAAAAAAAGGAAACACAAAATGAAACGCATTTTAAGCATATTTAAAACGCAAAATATACTCTGCCTTATAATTCAAGCAAATAAAAGTATAAATGGATTGAATGAATAATTATAAAAATAAATAAATAATTTGAATAGCATGAGTAAATAAAATAAGTAATTTGTTTACTAAGAAATTAACATACATGTATATTCATACAGCCATGTGTATACATAAACAAATAAATTATTACAAAGTGATGTGCTAAAGAATTATTAAATGAAAGAAATAATAAATGATTAAACTTAATTTTTCAAAAAAAAATTTTTATCAAAGATAAGTGCAATAGTTGTTTTCCAAGCTGTATATGGAATAACTGATTGACAGCAATTACAAAAATATAATTATATTGATTTAATATCTGGAATTATCCATCATCATATGAAATTGTACCTTTTATTTGTTTTGATTTCGAAAATTCAGCGTACGGTTCATAAATGCAAGAGTTGCTGTTATTTGTTTGGTTAAGAGTTAACTGCCCTTAGTTTTGAAAATTCCGGTAGGTGGCAAGACCGCCATCCTCTGTTTTAAGAGGATAAAATCTATCCTCCAAAAACAGAAGCCGCCTAGACCTGTTGATAGACACATCCTTGCACTTTCACAAATTTTAACTTTATCCTTATTACTTAAGAAAAGTAGCAATCTTGTTGTTTATTAATGAAAAATATTAAAACTATAATGCAGAAATTTCAGAGTAGAAATGTAGAAAGCACAATCCTCTCACCAGTATTGTCAGTCCATGCTCAATGATGTGTGCAGAGTTTAACAATTGAACACACCCGGTGAAACGTAAACATTAACAACAATAGAGCTCGTGCCCTGTTTACAAAAACAGTTTATGTTTCACGGGTGTATTCAATTTGTTAAACTCTGTACACAACACTGAGCACGGGCTGACAATACTGAAGTGAGTGGGATTTGCTTTCGCACATTTTTACTCTGAATTTTCTGGATTATAGATGTAAATTACTAATATTGTTCATTAATACACAACAAAATTGCTACTTTTCTTAAGTATTAAGGATAGGGTTAAAAAATTGTGAAAGTGCAAGGATGTGTTAATCAAACGCCTCCCAAAATTCGTAGTTTTAATAATTTCCAGATTAAATAAGTTATTAATTTTATTTTCGTGTGAAATGCTATAGCAACATATAAGTTGTGATATTATACAGAAAATTTGAAAAAATATAAACTTCAAATCTGTGTCTAAGCACCTTTAACTGATCTTCTGTATATGCACATGAGAGCGTATTGGTATATTCACATCAGAGAGGGGGGTTATTACTAGTGAGCATTGGCTCACAGACTACTTGTTGTATTTTCTTAAATAGGAAAATGGAAAGGCAGGCACTGTATGGAAAAAGAAAGAAGAAAAAGACTAAATCACCGAATCCGTTGTTTGAAATGTGGCTAAAAGAGTGGAAAGAGGAGGCTGCAGAAAAGGGAATAAAAACACAGTTTGTTTATGCCAAGGTATTAGTAGTTTTAAGTTGTCGTTTATAGAGGGTTTTGTTGGGAATCCACTATAAACTCAGATTTGTTTATTGATGTGTAACTGACAAGGAAGAAAAATGTAATGGACCAGACCATAATTCTAACCCGGACCCCCTGAATCACTAGTCTGGTGCTCTACCAATTGAGCTATCTGGCCATTGGCAATCGAACCTGTCTGACTGCCATGGAAGAAAAGCTGTGTTTCGAGATGGATTTATTACTGCAGAACCTATCTTATGTGGATGTTTTGTGTTCTGATAAGTTGCCTAGCTGTTATGATGTAAACTTAAAGTCCCATTCAGTAAATTCATTTGATTCAAATGTTGTCTAATCCGGAATATTCTTTAATCAGGCCAATTTCTATGGAACCAGTGGTGTCTTTCACTGCATATTAAAGTTTCTACAGAACCATATTTTAGTATTTTTAGTAGCCTGTATTTTCAAAGTTATCTGTTTATGTAAACATTAAAATTTTGAGAAATATTTTGAATACATTATTTACATGAATATACAACTTTTGTATGAGTTATTTTAGTTCAGCACAATTATTATGAATTTTTTTGCTGGCATATAACTCTTGTCTTAATATTTCTTGAATGGAGATCCAAGAAGGTCAAACTTAGCCTTATATATCTTGAACATTATGATGCATACCAGATATATATTTAGAAACCTTCTGCTTAGTAACTGATGTAAAAACTAAACACCAGTAACTGGCCTTAAGTTATATTACATACCCGGTATGTGAATACTTAAAATTTTCAATTTTCTAAGAGGTAAAAGGAGATGAATTGTCAATTTAAATTATTATGTTAATTTTTAATTAACACTAATCAATAATTTAAAAATTTTAGGCATTAAAGTCCCTACAAAGATATCCGCTTGTTTTGACATCAGGGAAGGACTGCAAAATCTTGGAAAATTTCGGTAACACTGTATTGCATGCAAAATTTTTCATCATATTTTTAACAGATTTTCTAATTTTTATCCTGACAATCAGTTCATGTTCACTTACTTGACTTGTGCATAGATGTTTTTCATTTTATAGGTGACAAAATTTGCAAAATGTTGGATGATCGGCTTCAAAAACACATACAAGAACATGGTAAATGTCTTCAATTGTACATGTAGTTATTTTTTAAGCATATAGCCACTTGAATTTTTTAAAGTGCTAATATTGTTTTGCTATTTGTTTGCATGAAATAGCTTTAGACTTGATACATGTATTAAAGAAAATGTTTATTGAGAATGATGAGATATTGTCTGGACTTTTCAGCCACATTCATTTGCAGTTTTGTCATTAGGACATACATGTGTATACAACAACTATTGCTTTCAATTCTTCTGTCTAAAGTTACATGTATCTTCGATTTCCATTTATTTAAAAAAAAAATATTGGTAAGCTAATCCACTATGATAAAAATTTGTGAGATCTCGGTCTAAGCAAAGCTAACAAAGGTTAGTTGCATTTGAAGGGGAGTTTGTTTATAAGAAAAGAAAGAAATTTGTAAATGCTTTCATATAATATACATTTGTGTGAGCCCAGGAGGAGATTCCCAAAGAATATTTAATAATGCTGAATACAGATGATTGCTGTTGTAAACATCGTATTTTGTACATATACATGTAAATGAAATGTTACTTTCATTCGTAGGTTCTATTGTTCCTCCAAAGTCTGAAGAGGATTCCCACACCAAACCACCAGCCAAAGAGAAACCAAAACAAAACAAAGCAGCCTCTTCAACCACTAGACCAGTGAATCAGCAGTCAGTTATCTCCCATGGAGCGGCACATACTCTGTCTGACTCTGATAGTGAGGGGGAGTCAGAGATCCCTCAACCCCCAAGGGTAAAGATGAATTGTCCCATATGCAGTAAGCATATGTAATCAGAAACATACCAAAATTTCTTGGCTCCCAATTTGAATAGATTGTTTCATGCTGTACTTGCCAGCTGAAAACAGAAAATAATACATTGTCAACTATCTCATTGATAAATTAAATAGATCCATTTATTTTTGATTTGAAGAATTAAGTTTTTTTTAGGTCTTTCAAGTTTTTAGAATTTTTACACTCTACATCACAGTCAAAACTCTCAAGTATTTCCCCCAGGAAAATCTGTGAAATATATGAGTTTATTTATTGAATTCAGAAAAGACAGAGATCTGGACTAGCTAGTGGAGAGAGGGAGTATGTTCCAGCCTACAGATCTGGTCCTTATGCTCTCCTTATCACTCTATACAGAGACAGACAGGTATAAATATGGTAATCACATACACGCCACACAGTGAAAATATTTAAAAAGGATTTTTGATATTCACTTTTTTCCCCCCACATATTTGTTCATTTACATTACATTCATTATTTTTAATTTTTTTTTCGTCTAATTTTAGTATGCAGATGGTAGAGGATTCATGACAAAAACAGAACTCTGTAATAAAGCCCAGTCATTGGCTGACAAATCCTTCACTCTGGTGAGTTTTAAACCACAAAGCCTGCAGTATGGTTTGATGTCCTTACAAAGAACTACATGTATGTGTGTGTTTACAGGCAGATCCAGGATGTCGTTACACGGCTTGGTCCTCTATGGGGACTCTGATAAAGAAAGGCTTAGTGGTGAAGGAGAGTAGCCCAGCCAAGTACAGCCTGACAGAAGCTGGATGTCAGCTGGCACACCGGCTAGAGGCAATTCAGGCTGAGGATTTACCACTAAGGCCAGCCTCAACACAGAGATTACCAGTAACCGTCCCTGGAAACAGAAATCAAGACCATGGGTATGAAGATGTATTAAGTCGTTTTAGCATGGCCTTTTTTAAAGACCAGAGTGGAAAAGAACCATGCATTTCTGAATGGCCTTTTTAAAGACAAGAGTGAAAAAAAAACCCATGCATTTCTGCATTTTATTTTCCAGATCACTTCAATACAAGTACGTAACAAATGAAGGAGATGAGGTGAACAAGAAAGATAAAGCAGCTGTTCTTATTGATGGTGAGGTCAAAGGTCAAAGATAAATTTAAAAAACTAGAGAAATTTACATTCCACAGTTCTTTTCCTGGTCAACCATGTACTGTATAAACTACAAGTATATGGTGGTTATATACATGTATATATAATATATATATATGTATATGTTTGATGTGCAATAAAAATAGAACAAAAGTCGTTTTTGAATTAAAAAAAAAAAAAATAATACAAAGTTTTTTTTCAAGAATTAAATTTTGTTCTACACAGCTATAAAGCTGACAGATATGCATTGAAATTTTCTAAACACACATGTTTACTCAAATCATCTGCACCTTTTAATATATGTGTTAAATGACTTTTTTTTTCAAATTATATGCACTTACATGTTTTAAAGCATTAAGTAAAGTTCAAAAATTACAATTCTATGATAAAGAGTTCATTTTATATACTTTTACATTGTATATAAAGATTCAGTGTTCTACAAAATTTTTTCAGATGATATTGGGCTCGGATTCCTGATTAAAGTGAACTACCAGCTACTATTGTCTAGTGGGAAACGTTACCGACTCGACACCACTAGGTCTGAAAATTCACTTAAAATAGTCTTAGGTTTACTCTTTTTATGTTATTTCTTCCCTCTATCTGAGATATGAACATTGAGTAGAAGTTCATTGAATGTATAAGTGAATCGTGAAAGTGTGATAATTAAGGTATTGATATGATATCTATCATTACTGTCAACCTTTATCTCTGATGGTACTATCAACTTGTATCTTTGTTGTTACTGTCAACCTGTAGCACTGTCATAACTTGTCAACCTGTAGCACTGTCATAACTGTCATAACTTATCAACCTGTAGCACTGTCATAACTTGTCAACCTGTAGCACTGTCATCAATGTCATAACTTGTCAACCTTTAACACTGCCAACCTGTATCTCTGCGAGCCTTCTTGTATTGGAGATTATTTGTAGATATGAATTGCAGATATAAATCATATGATTTTAAAAAAAAATATTGTAAATGAATATTAATTTAGTTGCATTTCTTTTTAGAATTTTTTGCATATCAGAGAAAGTTTGGAATTAATACCTGTACATTCAGATGAAACCAGTTATGCAGTTGATTGCTTTGACCAATATTTATATTTCCTTTGTTTTAATATAGTAATTTTCTTAACTTTCAGACCTCTAGGAGATAATGTGTATGTTTATCTACATGAAGAGGATGCTGTTGATTGTGTTGGTGTTCAGGAAACTACTCGACTACCCTCCTTGAATGATTTAGAGGAAACTCCAGCAAGTACTGCAGGTACTGTCAAATTAAACGGAGCAAACTCAAATTAATCGTCATATCAGCTGGTTTATTTCTCATGTGAGCAATTTTCATTTATTGTGTCCAGGAAAAAAACTAAGTGTTTTCATAATAAAACAAGAAGTCTGTCAGCCAATGCTCACTAATAATACCCCCGCTCTGATGTGAATACACAAGTTCAGTTATGAACAAACACAGTGATAATCAGGAAATTGACATCAGATTTGTAAAAAAATGAATCCCAACATATGGCCTAAACAAAGATTGTGCTAAAATTTCAAGCATCTGCGATGAGTAGTTGCTGAGAAACTACGACCGAAATTTGTTATGTGGTACGGACAGATGCACGGATAAACAGGAAGTTGACATAGGATTTGTACCAAAAATGAATCCCATTATATGGCATGCCTAAAGAAAGATTGTGCTAAAATTTCAAGCATCTGCAATGAGTACTGTAGATTCCTAAATATACGCGAGGAATTAATTATCGCGTAATTACGCAAGAAGCGCAACTCGCGAAATAAAATTACTCGCTTTTATTTTTATGGTACTGAAATCAATTTAAAATTCCTTTGATCAACCGTCCACTCGCGAATTATTGTTCTCGCGATTTGGTGTTAAAGAGTCATTTCGCAATAATAAGTACTCGCGAAAAATAAGGAATCTACAGTAGTTGCTGAGAAAACTACAACCAAAATTTGTTAGGTATGATATGGACAGACGCACAGATAAACAGGAAGTTGAAATTGAATTCATACGAAAATGAATCCCACCATATGGCATGTCTAAACAAAAAGTGTGTTAAAATTTCAAGCACCTGCGATGAGTAGTTGCTGAGAAAACTGTGACCAAAGTTTGTTATGTATGGTACTGACAGATGCACGGATAAACAGAAAGTTGACATCGGATTAGTACAAAAATGAATCCCACCATATGGCATGCCTAAACAAAGAGTGTGTTAAAATTTCAAGCACCTGCGATATGTAGTTGCTGAGAAAACTGCAACCAAAATTTGTTATGTATGATACGGACAGACGCACGGATAAACAGGAAGTTGACATCAAATTCTTACAAAAATGAATCCCACCATATGGCATGCCTAAACAAAGATTGTGCTAAAATTTCAAGCATCTGCAATAAGTAGTTGCTGAGAAAACTGCGACCAAAATTTGTTACGGACAGACAGACACACAGCTAGACAGACAGACAGACAGACACACAAGGGTAAAACAGTATACCCCCCTCTCCTTCGGAGCGGGGGTATAAATATGTAGGTAACTTCAGTTTAATAAAAATACTTGGACTCAGGTTCACTCATAGGTGTAACTGATTCTTCATTACAGTTCCTGCAATGTTCATGTGGACCAACTCTTTGTTGAGAAGAACCTTCTACTTAGTAAATTAAAAATTGTATTTATGTCAATTTTATGACAAAAATGGAGACAAAAATGAAATTCAAGGACATATGGTACATCATAGGAGCAAAAATTTGCAACAGTTATTGTTGAAGATGAAAATTGTATGAAGGAAACATGTATTTAATCATTAGAAGTGGATAAGTGTTAGGAAGGGAAATGTAAACTACATATGCACATGTATGTAAAAGTTTGAATACTGCAGAAAAATTTTTTTTTCGTAAGGATGAAATTTCATTTATTTATCATCTAAAAAGGTTTTGTGGGCATTAAATTTTGTTGTTTTCAAAGTAACCCTATTCAATATATAGTGATATAAAAAATTTAATCCCCAGTGACTATTTCTGCTGTTACAGTGTATAGATTATTTTTATATCTTTCACATCCTCGTAAAAATTGCAGTCAAACCAACAAAGGAGGCAAAGAAAAGAACAAAACTTCCTAAGGATGTGATGTCATCCCACTCAGCAGAACCACAGCTTCTGTCATTCCAGAATTCCTCTCCCAAACTCCCCACCCTGCACAATAAAGACACACCTAGAATTTCCTCTGTCAGAGCTCTTAGTCTTGAAAGGGCATCAGAGAGTGAAAATTCTCAAGAGTCCACCAATACTGACTGTGTATCAAATTTTGTGTTCCTACCTGGACAGTTTGAAATCATCCTGTGTGTTGACAATGCTGAATTCTATGGAAGCAGGTATCATTTACATACCTTGAACCAAGTTATCAATGATCAAGAAAATAATGTATAAGCTGTATGCTATACCAATGGATGAAAACTTATTGTATTATGTTTCTTGTAATACTTTGTATTGAACTGGATACCCTTGCATTGTACTGTACAATTATACACTTTTATTTTTAACAAGACAGGGAGGAGGGAAGTCCTTACTTCCTGACCTCATTAAGAACGGTGTGACCTGTGACCTCAGAAAACTCCATGTAGGAGATCTACTGTGGGTAGCAAGGGAGAAAACTCATCAGACAGAAGTTGGTAAGGGGACATAACTTTTAATTTCCCCTTACATTTCGGTGATAATATTTCGAAGGTCTACTAATTAACATGATGATTAAACTTACTTGTCTGATCTGAAATAGGGATAGATCAGCCCAGGAGGAGAGAACTGGTGTTGGATTACATTGTAGAGAGGAAGAGAATGGATGACCTTGTTCACAGCTGTACAGATGGAAGACTCTCAGATCAGAAGGTCAGAGCCAAATGAAACTAACAATAACACTAGAGCAAAAATGAAGCAAAATTATTTACCATGTATTAAAAGTAGCTTGCTTTATATGAGAACCACATTACTTAAAAACAAAATGAAATTTAGGTTTGTAATCTTTGTGTAAGTGGCTTTGACACCTCTGTTTTAGTTCCGCCTGAAGCACTGTGGCCTAAAGAAGCCAATCTTTATGGTGGAAGATTATGGCTCTCTGCAGCACTTCAGTATCCCAGAGGACCGCATCAGACAGACAATAACAAATCTCAAGGTAATGATTCACATTTATATAAATCCTGTTTCCAATCAGATGGACTAATGAAATTTTGTACAACTCACATGATCAGATAGGACTGAATTGTTTCAGGGTTAAAAGTTAAGGTCACTTTTTTTTACCAGGTCATTGATGGATTTCAAGTAAAGAGAACAAAGAATGTTAAGGAGTCAGTAGCTTACCTAACAGTGATGACTCACTATCTACAGAGTTATTACAAGGTGGGTACAGTGATCTACCTCATTTTGTCCCATTGATGACTCAATATCTTGTATGCACAATATACATACAATATATGTATGCAAGAAGATACAAGTTTCTACATTTCTGGCAAAGTACTTGCTGTAAATATAGTTAGTTCTATAAGACATTTGAGTTTGATTGTTACAGAAGTTGTAAATGGTTACCAAGAGACATCAATCCTCTCTATATTTACAAGATACATGTAGGATAACTAGTGTGACTCAGCAATGAAAAATGGGAAAATGCAGACATTTTGAACATTAATCAATTTCCATGCAGAGTATTTGGAATACATGTTGATGACAGGAGTTATCTTTTCTTTAGAATAAGACCCTCTATGCCTGCAGTATTGATGACATCAAAGAACAGGACTGGAGTAACAACATAAATGAGCGAGAAATCAGACTGATGGAGTTTGAGGAGTTTAACCAGGGATCTGTCAAGTCTAGGGTAAGATCATATTTATTAGCCAGATGTCAGAAGAAAATTTACATTCTTAGGTATTTTTGGCAGCATGGGGTCATGAGGGTGTATATCATTTATGACAGATATTAATTTTTGGGATGCCAAATGACTCATTTAATGTGCATATTAGATTTATTGAATGATTAATTGGTGGTTTTAATTAGTGATTACTTAATTATGAAGACAACTTTTTTAAAAATGAACCAATATCAATATAAGAAGGTATATAGCATATATATTTCAGTAACTTTGCAAAATACCCATATGCATGTACCGGTATGTAAAAATGAGGTCAATCAAAGGTCAATCAAAGGTCAAAGGATTTGATTTCATTAATCTGTTTTTCTCATAGAAAGATGTATTCTTAAGCAAAATCAGAATATTTTAAAATTGCTTAAAGTTTACCTAACATGACATATTGTAGATAAATGTTTAGAGAATAATCAGTTTCATGACTCCTGATTTTGTTCATTTTTTCTGATAATGGGTATGAAAAATAGGCGTACACAGACGCTAAATATAGAAAAAAATTGGAATGGCCTTACTCGTTAACTTTGCTTGATTAGTCATAATACTGATCTGTGTAAATAAGATTTTCCATTAGATAGGCAAATGTCTTGTATGTTTAACATTTATGGATAATTCAATGACATTCCTGATTATTTGGTTTATAAAATTCTGTCACAACTTTTTGAAATACATGTACATTTGTAGAATCTGAGTGTTCAAGACATGTTCTGTAAACAGCTGAGTAAAGTTAGTGGAATGTCTGGTGAGAGGGCTCAGGCTGTGACTCAGATCTACCCCACAATAAGTCAGTAAGTAACTCAGATCTACCTTACGCTAAGTCAGTAAGGAACTCAGATTTACCCCACAGTAAGTCAGTAAGTAACTCAGATCTACCCCACACTAAGTCAGTTACTCAGATCTACCTTGCACAGTTACTCAGATCTACCTTGCACTAAGTCAGTTAGTAACTCAGATCTACCTCACAATAAGTCAGTAAGTAACTAAGATCTACCCCACAATAAGTCAGTAAGTAACTCATATCTACCCCACAATAAGTCAGTAAGTAACTCAGATCTACCCCACACTAAGTCAGTAACTCAGATCTACCCCACACTAAGTCAGTAAGTCAGATCTACCCCACACTAAGTCAGTAACTCAGATCTACTCCACAATAAGTCAGTAAGTAACTCAGATCTACCCCACACTAAGTTAGTAACTAAGATGTACCCCACACTAAGTTAGTAAATAACTCAGATCTACCCCACACTAAGTCAGTAAGTAATTCAAATCTACCTCACACTAAGTAACTCAGAGCTAACCCACAATAAGTCAGTAAGTAACTCAGATTTCCCCCACAATAAGTCAGTAAGTAATTCAGATCTACCTCACACTAAGTCAGTAACTCAGATCTAACCCACAATAAGTCAATAAGTAATTCAAATCCACCCCACACTAAGTCAGTAAGTAATCTAGAACTCAGTAAGTAGCTTAAATCAATCCAAAAATAAGTCATTTACATGTAGTAAATTTAAACCAGATGTATCACAGATTAAGTAAGTCAAGAACTCAGATCTTGACCTTTATTTAACCTGTATATGTGCTGTATACATGAACATGTACATACATTTATGTTGTAAGTCCTTTTCATTGAACTTTCCTCAATGTGTCTACACACTGTCTACATCTTGTCCTACATTTTAGCTTAATGGACGCCTACAGCTCCTGTCCCAACAAAATGGCAGCAGAGCATTTACTTTCCACAGTCAAAGTCAACAAGTCTCTCAGGTATGTGTATGTCGCAGTCACTCTTACAAAAAAAAATTGTTCTTATAAAGTCCTCCATTTTATGCCCCACCATAATCATGGCCGTCATGTCCTTCTGTCAAACTTCCTATACTAAGATACAAACTGTTTAGAGAAATTCCACTGTGCCATTACTTTTATTGCCCATCTTGAAAAGGGGGCATACTGCTTTGAGGCCGGTGTGTCTGTAGACTAAGTGTTGTCAATATCTTGAGAACCCTTTGATTGAAATACATCAAACTTCGTACACTGGTACCTCCTGAAAAGTAAATGAGGAGTGCAGGAAAATTTTAAATTTATTTCCCTTTTTTTTCTTCCACACATGCAATGCATATGCAAAATATTGAAAGAATAAATTTTTCCTATTACTTGTAATCTAGAAATTAATTAAGAGTATACACATAAGGTACTGTTAATGAGCTCATCTGAGCCGAAGGCTCAAAGTTAGGTTTTCTGATCAGGGATAGACATTAACTTTCAGATTCACGTGCCCTTCGGGCAAGTGATCTCAAACTTTGACTTGTCGGAATGCAAAACTTGGTTGCCCCAATTAGAAGGAACTTAAGAAGAAAATTATTAATTACTATAAACGTTATGATAAGAAAAAAATGTGACCAAATACACTACTATCAATTTGGCAAGTTGAGCTACCTGAAAAAATGTTGATGCATGCTGCATATGTACATAAATGAATACCGCTGTACTTGTGAATTTAACCTGTTAACACGCACTGCCATACAACAATAACCCTTTTTTCAAAATTATTTTCGGTAGGATCCTTTTGTGATTCATGATATTCAGAGATAACTGTGAACTAGTGTGAAGCAACGCTTAAGGAAGATAGTTGCTAGGAAACATACATCTTATCTTGATCTGGATACATTGTGTCACACTGTAGTTATATTCTGTGCTTGAATAAATAATCTTATTTTCTGATAAGAAGTTAACAAAATTTTGTTAGACGTAGAGGGTATTTACTAGGAAAGAAAATAACGAACCCAATTTTTAAATGAGCGGTATAATCCAGAAATGCTACCAAGGAATTCCAAATGCAAAAACATTGTCAGTCAGGTGCGTGGCAGAAATCAAATGTTCAGTTTATTGTTTTATTTATAAATTAATGTAAACTAAATAAATATGTACATATGTATGAGAAAAATTCACTTGCCCAATCTGACAAGTATGTCGACAATTTCACTTGCTCGAACTGAGAATTTACTTGTCCCGGGAATCAGACAACCGTTAATGTCCATCCCTGCTGATCAAAAAGTGTCAAGCGTCCGTCTGTCTGTCGTGTGTTGTCTGTAAACTTTTCACATTTCTGACTTCTCCAAAACCACTAGTCCTATTTCAACCAAACTTGCCACAAATCATCCTTGGGCCAAGGGAATTAAAATTTTTTCAATTTTCACAGGAAGTGCCACACCCTCTTTCAAGGGGAGATAATTAAGAATTCATGAAAATTTGGTGGCATCTTTTAAAATCTTCACAAACCACTGTGCCAGAAAAGATGAAACTTGTTTAAAAGCTTTAATACATACTGTAGATTCAAATTTGTTCATACCATGACCCCCAGGGGTAGGTTGGGGCCACAACAGGGGGGTCAAAGTTTTACATAGAATGCTTCCAATAAATATGATTGACCATGACTTTGCTGTTCTTATCTTTACAAATCTTCTCAAGAACAGCAAAGTCAGATCAATCATATGTATATGGAAGCATCCTCAGGTAGCATAGATTGAGGTTTGTTCAAATCATGACCCACTGGGTCAGGGTGGGACAGTAATATGTGATCAAAATAGAATTTTACAAAGAATTTGTAGGAAAAAGAATCTGAAAGATCAAACATTCCTTAGTTACACAGGTGAGCATCATGGCCCAAGGGCCTCTGGTTTTTCTTTTTCAACCACAAAGTTTGAGGCTTAAAAATTAACAAGAGAAATGGAATCAAATAGTTCAAAACAATGAAGCACTGGTTTTACAAGTAAAATAGCAAATAAATTTTACTTATTGAATAAAATTCCAGAGTACTCAGAATCCAGATTAGACAAATAATTTTGTATATTTCTTTTCATATATTACCTTTGCTGGGACATTCATATCCTGTCAGTGTACATTTATTTCTAATTGTTCATGTTAAAAACTTTTGTATGAAGTGATTGTCTGATGTCTTAATTTAAGACTGTAAGCTCAAATAATCTGGATGTTTATTTCCAGGAATCTAGGAATGAACCCAAGCAGACTTATTCATCAGCTCTACTCCACAGAGGGTCCATTAAAATGACAACCTACCAGACACCATCCCATCTCACACCACAAACAGTTTACCATACATCATATCAACTCAACTCAACCAGTGTACCATACACAATCTCAGGTCACAACACAGTGTAGCAGACATCATCTCAACTCACAACACAGACTGTGCTTTATAATGGTGTATCATACAAGCTCATCTCAAATTCTCCACCAAATAGAATCCTTTGACTTTTAAGATAGACACATCTCCCTGCTACCTCACTCACAGTTGTTACCTGTGACAGTGTACCTGTTTAATCAAACTGTGTAACACAAATCCATGATAATGTAATTAACTTGTCCTACTCAGTTTGATGAATAATTTCAAGATAAAAGAAGTGTCACACATGTACTGCATGCATGTAGCTGACTTCCAGTAAATGTATTTACTATTCAAATAAATCTGTACTTTATATTTCATTCTTTAATTGGGGGGGGTCATTTGATAAATAATTGGGTGTCACAGATAATTTTTTTTTTACATCAGGTCCACATACTTATTAGAGCTTTTGTTATGCATGCACTACGCTGTATTACAATTTATTACTTTGACTGGGCCATTTGGCAAGCTTTAAAATAACCGTCTTGGGAAAAATGAGATTGAGTGGTCTCCCTTTTAATTAATTTCAGATTGCCTGCATTTAGTCTTGATGTATGTCACATGAGTCACTCATATGTTCTGTTCCTGATGCTATTTAAAGTACTTCGTACTTATTCTAACTTTATCAGCCAGTTGATATTCCCTTTCAAATATCTATTGGCACATTAAATTATACTGGGTCACATAGAAACTTTGGATCATGTATCAAAATTGGCATTAAAGAAACTTGTATTTTAGACGATTAAAACATTTTGAGTGTCATATATATTTTTTTTCTTCAAAATAAAGCCTGATTTGATGCCCTGCAGTGTCTTACAGTGTAGAATATTGTATTACAAGAGATCAGCAAAATATACAATTACATGTATTAGGGACATGAGGCAGTTTTCTCTTGAAGAATAAAGAAAATTAAATACTTCTGCAATTAAGTTTCCATATTTAGCATTCTAAAACAGAAGTATTGCATACATCTGTTGTTTAATTACATAGAATACAAGACAATGATGTATTTCACTTCAGATATTTGATTTTCTTCACTTGTCTATTTCCATACTGAGCAACAAACAGATTGACATTTGTATCTGTACACAGTCCTATGGGTTCACTCAGACCACAGTCTATGTAACGGAGGAACTGTCCATCTTGGTCTATGATGTGGACACAGTCATTGTTATAATCAGCTGTAAGGATGTGACTCTGACTGTCTGTGGTGATTCCTACTGGACTGAATGATTTGTTCTTTGGAGCAGGAGTATGTCCAGTGTACCTGAATCTTAGTTTCCCGGCCTGATTGACCACCACTACTGCTCTAGCTCCCCAGTCAGACACACAGATATCCAGGTTCCTGTTCTCAGTTATGTAATCAGAAGTAGTTATGTATCTGACATAAAGACCAGATGAATAGAGAGGTTTATTTTTATCATCAAACTGAATGGTTTGTTTCTCTGTGGAGCCAGAGTAACAGACAACTTTTGTTTGTGTGTTATCATCACTGTCCATGATAACCAGGAAGTCACCAGAGGAGGTACTACAGACACCTTCAGGTCTCCAGTTCTGTAGTCTGATCACCTCCTCTATCTTCTCATTCTTCACAATGTTCACAGTTCTATCTAAGTAATCAGTATAAACTAGATCTCCACTTTTTGTCACTGCTATGTCAGATGGTTTGTACCCTGACTTGATTGTGATTGACTTGAGTAGTGATCCCTGATTGATGTTGTAGAGTTTCATGGTGCTGTCAAATCCACTTGTCCAGATTTCTTCATCACTCAGACAGGCCACATTGTAAAGGTATGATTTATACCCAGTGTCTATGGTGGTGACAGTCTCTGGTTCATCAAGCAGCTGTTTGACTGGAGGTGCAGCTTCTGGTGATTTCTGTGTTGTCTTCATGCTGTAGCCATGTTTATCTGATGTTAAAGAACTGGATGATAAAGTTCCAAAGAGTTTACCGAGTTCTTGGATTTTTCTTGGAATGAATTTAGGTAAGATTGGTACAAGTTTTTGTGGAAGATTTCTGTATAAATTAATTACACTGGCCATAGGTGTGATACTAAATAGTTTTGACATGTCATTAGTGTCTATAGCCATTTCAATTGAATCAATTTCATCTTTGATGTCTGACATTTTCTTGTTTATTTCATCCAGATGTTTCTGTAGAGTTTGTAGCTGTGTGTTTTTCATCTCATCAACTTTAGCTTTAAGTTTCTTGACGAGTTTGTCAATTTCTCTGTGCCAGTCCTCTCCATGTTTAGTTATGGCTGTTGATAGATCTCCATATTCCTTTTCTAACTGACTCATTTTGTTTTGTACATCAGAGGCAATGTCCTGGTAGGTTGGATAAATTGTTTCATGTAATTCTATTTGTTCTTTGATAATTTTGTCCTTTATTTCATCCACAACTTTTAAGATGTCAGAAAAATTATGACCTAAATGTTGATCAGATGTAAGGCACTCTGTGCAAACAGAAAATTCACATTGTTTGCAGTACAATATACATTGTTGTTTGTTATGTGATGTACATAAAGGGTAGAGAGGGGTAGATTTCCTGGCCTGAAATTTGACGACTTTGTGGTCCTTGGATTCATCAGATATCATGTGTTTTCCAACACAAGCTATACACAGGTTGACAAAACATGTATCACAGTGCATCTGTACCACAGCGGTCTCACACAGGTCACATCGCATTACGTCCTGGGCACTGGTTCGGGAGTCCATAGTTAGATCTTGTGATAGTCTAAAGCATATAAAGTTCAACATTTTTAAGCAGAGATACAGGAACGGAAAATGAAAGTACTAGGGATACAAAAAGACAAGTCACTCATCTGACAAGATGAGGATAAAAAAAAATTAGGAAATGCATGAAATTTGTTCTCAGTAGATCTTACATTTATGTTCAGTTAATTCCCGTTAAATATAATAAATACCTGATTGTCAGTAATGGCGGCCGACCTGTCCTGATCACAGTACAATCTATCTTTACATGCTTTATGTGCGCTTAGCGCGTGACACATATGTACCTGTCAGGTTGTTTGTACTTCCTGGTCTAGAAGGGGATTTAAATATTAGCTAAATAAAAATTTCGGTAAAACTGATAGGTATGCGAACTCCTATGATATCCTATAATTAGTTGTGAGTATAATCAGTGGCGGATTTAAGGGGGGGGGGGGGCGCCCCCCTAAAACTGTCAAAGTTAGCGTAAATCATAGTTTCATCAAGAAAATGTAAAAATGTCTACTTGGTAGACCTCATTTTTACCCTACAAAATCTCTAGAATCCAGGAGCTTCCGGGGGCTTCGCCCCCTGGGCCCCCACCAGGGCTTCGCCCTGGACCCACTGGGGGCCTCATGGCGGCCCCCAGTCTACTTCCTGGAGTCGAGTACTGGAAATTTTTGGAAGACAGAGTAGCAAAAGCTTTGAATGACATAAGAAGACCTATTTTCAATTTTCACTACATCAAAGATATGACTGTGGCCCTACTGTTCCCACACAGATTTTTAAAAATATCCTTTTGTTATAAAATGATTTCTCTCGTGTAAATATTTGACACCTTAAGGCCCCGCCCATGCCAGACTACATGTACTAATAAAATTATTGTACAAACTTTTATGTGCTCTACAGTATCATGGGGATGTTTCAATATCAAATTAGATCTATAACTCCCTGTGGACTTCCTGCTCTCTCTAATTGAACTTGACTCCTATTGTACGCGGGTTCGAATCCCACTTTGGAGACCGGTCCTTTGAATGAGACCGTATAAACAGAGGTCCCGTGTAGCAGTAGGTGCTGGCACAAAAAAGATCCCTCACTGCTCATTGGCCATAAGTGCCGAGTATAGGCATGGCCGTAGGAACCGGGGGGTGGGGGGTGGGGGCGTGCCCCCCCCCCATAATTTTGCCGATATATAGAATACTATAGAAAACATAGCTACTATATGCTTGTACCCCCTCAATAATAACGTCTGATGACTTCTCGAGAGGGACGTTAAACAACACACAAACAAAAAAAACCCCTATATTTCTGGTTCATGCAAATTATCTTCATTGAAAAAGGGTTTTAATTTTTATCAGAAATGATTTGAATTCCCTTTACTCAAGGATGGTTTAAGCCAGATTTGTAATTGGCTTTGTAATTTTGATAAAACAAAGAGATCTACATGTTTATAAAAAGTAACCTTACTAAAAATTACAGATAAAATATCAACTGACAAACTTGTTTCACAAAAGCTTATTTTAACCTTTGGCTCAGGTTAGTTGATACATAAATACAAATTCCATAGTAATTCATATTGTAACAGGATTTGGTTTTTACCTTCGGTCTAAGGTACCAATCACGGCACCAATGTAACGGGATTTGATCGTATGAAAGTACTTCTTTTATTTTCAAAATTAACTCATTAGATAACACACATTTTCTTTATCAATAATAGTACTTCGCGTTTTATTCCAAATTCTTACTAACCAAAAAACCTGTATATTTCAATTAGTCACGTAAGTGACTTACCAAACCAAGAATTTTAATAACAAGAGTTTGCAAATTAACAAGTATTTATTATGGCAACAATTATATTTTATTAACAGCACAAAATATTTACATTTATATATTTACAACAAAAACTAATGTACAAACGACCTATCTTATTATTAATTGGGCCTCAATAAAAAATAGTGCCTACCTAACAGATGTAAAATATCCAGAACCCGTCCTACCCGATGCTAAGTCCGAAGAGAAGTGACCCACCCCTGCACGAAAAATCTACTATGCCTAACTTAACCGGTTTACCAAGAATAGAAATAAGGAACTGGACTTCAACAAAAGTGGACGTGTAAATGAAGGAAACAAAAGGGCAACTTGAACGACACATAGATCGAATTGAACGAAACAGAGACAGAGACCGGGATCCACCCCGATTATTAGAAAGTGAGCTGGTACGAACCTTTGAGAAGGTTCCAAACCAATTGATCTACACGTGAAATACTGTCCTTTAAATACCCCGCGATCCGAAGGTGTGTCTCTTATCTAATCAAAACCTACGTTTTATGTATAACCCAGACAAGGACGTTTCCCGAAACATTGTATAAAGCTAGAAAGTTTTCTAATGTATAATAAACGATCTTAACCAATCCAAGATATCGTTATTTTCTTACTCAGTAAAATCCAATCCTATCACACTCCACCCACCTCAAAATCGAAATATCTTGAAAAGACGGTCCCTGGGCGTGGAGGTTAATGTCCTGTCAAACAATATGACCGATTAGCTAGGGGTGTCCACACTGTGGCTCGAACCTACAACCCTCAGATTTAACGCTCTACCGAGTGAGCTAAAGGGTTAACTCACTAGCTAGTGCTAGTAGGATCGTGGCCTCACTATATACAACGCACAGCCACTTTTAACTCTGTTACAATATATCTTAGATACTTATATACTCGTATTTATATTGCTCTTTTATTTGTGGAAAACAGGATGCAGACAACAGAGATTCAAAACAAGTATCTAGATATTATTCTTTTATCATATATTGGTAAATCTTTTAATTCGACATTGCAAACTGAGAAAGATCTATTATATATATTTTATATTCATTTATTATTCCAAATCGGGGCACTTTTGAGCATATTACATACATGTATATTAAACAGAACATATAAATATAATAATTATTCACAAAATGTGATAATAGTAATATTCAGCATTAATTTTCCTTAATACATATACATGTACTTAGTCAATTTACTCTTGGTTCATAAGTTGATATAATTGCTAACATGTACAATTTGAAATACACATTGTAAAGTGTAAACAAGTACCACCGTGTACCATAATGCAAAAAAGCCAGAGATATACATATACAAAAATATAAACTGAATAGATTATAAGTTGTAGAAATAATTGATAATTTGTCCATACTTTTCAAGCAGACAAAATTACCTAAGTCTATGCTAATTAGCCATCAGTGTAATAATTTTTACGATATTTAATTTTCTAGTGTCTGATACATCATCGTAAGTGGTAATAAGGATAAAAATATAGGTATATGCAAAATATATCAGTTGACTTCCTTAGAGCTGCTGATATTGATATGCTTAGTAACTATCAGAGCTAGATAGTATATCAAATTCATTAACATGAATACAGGATTTTTATGGAAAATATCCTTGGTCAATTTTAATTTTTTTTTTCTGATTAATATCAAGCCATATTTTTCCTCAGAACTGAGTTGATAATAGGACAGATATCGCTGTGAATTGTATCCAGCAAAGTTAACAGCTAGATCGCTCTTTATTTAAAATTTTAGAAATTGTCTGGTAAAAGTTATTTTATTTTATGTGGAAATTGATGCGGTACTGAACATACCACAATTTTACTAAAGAAATAAATAGTGCTGGCCTCATTCTTGCGACTGCACTTTTCACCGAAATTTTTGAAACCTGGTCAGTTATTATTGCCAAAAACTATTCTCTTTCATTTCCGAAAAGAAAATATTAAATATCATTACCAAAAGCTCAGAGTGAAATATCCTTTAAGAACCCTCTATACATTGCACACTGAAGTTCTGATTCTGTGGTATATTTATGCTGTTAGAGTGATCTGCCATTTGACCCACAAAAAAAAAAAAAATAATGAAATCTTAAGTGTATTATATGGCATGTCAAACGTTGCAATATTCAATATTTTCCATTTGTATTGTATATTTTTCATTTGTATTGTGTAATTTTCTGTTTGTATTGTATAATTTTCCATTTGTAATGTAAAATTTTCTATTTGTGATCTATAATTTTTCATTTGCATTGTAAAAGTTTTATTTGTATTCTATATTTTTCCATTTGTATTGTATAATTCTCAATTTTTATTGCATAATTTTTAATTTGTATTGTATGTTTTTATTTGTATTGTATAATTTTTAATTTGTATTGTATTATTTTCCTTTTGCATTGTATGCTTTTCCATTTGTATTGTTAAATTATACAATACAAATGGAAATTTATAGTATCCAAATGGAAAATTATAGAATACAAATGGAAAATTATAGAACACAAATAAAAACTATACAATACAAATGAAAAATTATACAATACAAATGAAAAATTATAGAATACAAATAAACATTATACAATACAAATGGAATATTATATAATGCAAATGATAAATATAGAATAGAAATGGAAAATTATACAAAACAAATGGAAAAGATCGAATATTGCAACTTTTGACATGCCATAGTATTACGCAATTTAAGAACACAAACAAAAAGAAAACAATAGAAACTTATTCCTCCAAAAATGCATGGGTACGATTTTGATTGTTTCTATGAAATGGTTACGCTTCAGTTAACATTGTAGTTATTTATCAATTAAGACATTTAAATGCCTCATTTTTTTTACTTTAGTAAAGTAAAATATTAATTTTCTTTGGTGGTGCGTTAGCAAATTTGTCTAGTGTATATATAACAAAACCCAGAATTCGTGAAAAGAACTTTTGTCTCGCTTATAAGTACCAAATAAATATCTGGCTAAAAAAAGGTGTCGCAAAAATTTTGTGATTTATAGTAAATAACAGTGATTTCTGTTCATCACTACTTAGTTGTCTTTAAACAATTTTTCATGGAGTAAGTGCCAGTCAAAATGCTCAAAAACATTTTGCTTTAGAGGGTCCTTATGGCCTACAACAGAAAGAGTTCTCAGTTGCGTATTTAGAAATACAGTGACTACGTATCTGGGGCATTTTATTACATTTTGGACTCTAAGTACTCTGCGGTTATTGATATGCAAAATTTCATGTTGAAGATTATAAGCTTTTAAAATCGAATGTAAATGGTGCTGATTATTGATTTAAATTCATTAGAAATATCCTGCTCAAAATCATCATTCATCTCTCCGTGGTGAGAAGGGGAGGGACAGTACAACCTGGCAAACGGAAGCGATATTTAAGTAGATATTTTTCGGAAAACCGAATGTAAATGGTGCTGATTATTACAATCTTGATAACAGAGGCGT